TTGAGATAGAGTCTTGCTCTGTTGCCCAGGCTGGAGTGCAGTGGTGCGATCTCTGCTCACCGCAACCTCTGCCTCCCGGGTCCTAGTTCAACCAATTCTCCTGCCTCAGCCTCCAGAGTAGCTGGGATTACAGGAAGGCACCACCATGCCCAGCTAATTTTTGTGTTTTTAGTAGAGACAGGATTTCACCGTGTTGACCAGGCTGGTCTTGAACTCCTGACCTTGTGATACACCCATGTCAGCCTCCCAAAGTGCTGTGATTACAGGCCTGAGCCACCTCGCCTGCCTTTATTTTTATTTATTTATTTATTTTTTGAGACAAAGTCTGCTCTCACTCAGGCAGGAGTGCAGTGGCACGATCATTGTTCGCTGCAATCTCGACCTCCCGGGCTCAAGTGAACCACCCACCACAGCCCCCTAAGTAGCTGGAACTACAGGCGTGAGCCACCACATTCAGCTAATTTTTTGTATTTTAGTAGAGATGAGGTCTTGCTATGTTGCCCAGGCTAGTGTTGTACTCCTGAGCTCAAGTGAGCCTCCTGCTTTGGCCTTCCAAAATACTGGGATTACAGACTTGGGCCACCATGCCCAGCCTCTAAAATTTTTATATTCTTTGGGTCATGGTCCTAGGCATGTATTTGTAGTAAGTAAAGATAGTAAAATTTTGTTTTGGAAAGCAACATTTATAGTAGGGACTATGCTTAATTTTTAGAGTTTTGCCCCAGCACTGCTTACATTTGTGAATTCTGCTCTGCCCTCACCCCCAGGAAGCCTTCCCTGACCACTCCCATGCTTCTGTGGATTCCAGCAAGGGTCTCCTCTGAGGTCCCATACCCCCTTGTGCTTTCACCACCATAAAATGAACCACCCTGCTTTTTTGGTAATTGTGGTCCTTTAAAAATCTGCCCATGAGGGCTTGGCGCAGTGGCTCATGCCTGTAATCCCAGCATTTTGGGAGGCCGAGGCAGGGGGATCACAAGGTTAGTTGAGACCATTCTGGCCAACATGATGAAACCCGTCGCTACTAAAAATACAAAAAAATTAGCTGGGCGTGGTGGCATGCGCCTGTTAGTCCCAGCTACTTGGAAGTCTAAGGCAGAAGAATCACTTGAACCTGGGAGGTGGAGGTTGCAGTGGGCCGAGATCGTGCCACTACACTTCAGCCTGGTGACAGAGCGAGAATCTGTCTTAAAAAAAAAAAAGAAAAAGAAAATATAGCCATGAATTCTTTGATACTCCTTCAATCAAAAGGTAGAGTTTCTGTCCCCTTCCCTTGAAACTGAGCAGGTCTTTGTGATGGTCCCAGCCAATTGAATGTGGTGGGATTAACTGGGTGACTCCCAATAGGTCACAAACAGCACTGGCAGGCACTGAGGTTAATTAAGATCAGAACGTCCCACGTGAAGCACAGGGAACCGCACAGTCCAGGCCTCTCTGCTCCTCTGTACCTCATTGCTCTTGTCGCTGGGACCGTTTGTTGGGGTCCTCCTCTGTCCCTCCCCCCAGTCCCCACCCCACCAATCTGATTGCTCCTTGCAGGCAGGGCTGAGTCTTCCATTTCCTGAGAACCTTGTCACACCCAGCAGGAATTGGAAAGAAACTGATATTTACTGAGCACCTACTATGTGCAGGCACTGTGCTGGTTAAGCTGCACGTCTCCTCTCATCCCTGCGTCAGCAGTTCCACGTGGATATTTTAGTCTTGTCTTGAGATGAAGAAACTGAGGTTTGGCGGGGTGAAGTGATGTAGGCTGCAGTCACCCAGCAGGAATTTAAGTCCAGGTCTGTGGGATGCCATTCCAAAACACTGGTCAGGGCAGGCTTCTCTTGGCAGGCAACAAGTTGAGCAGGGGCCTCAGGGCACGGAATTGGCCTTGGGAGGTTTTGGAGCAGGAAAGGGCTCATAGGACCGTCCCTAGTGTGCCTAGGGGCCTTTGCTTCCTGGACCTCCGCCTGCCCAGGAGGGGAGGAAGGTAGAAGAAGACGTTCTGGAGCATGGGGATCTTATGGGGACATGGATGTCACTCTTCCTCTGACACCAGTTTAAAGATGTTCCTGGCTGGGGACCATTTGCGGGGATGGGAATTTCCCACTGCGGTGACCTTTGGACCTTAGAGCTGCCACGTGGCCCAGGACCACCCTCCACCCCCACAGGTGCCCACTCCTGGCTAAGGGCTCTGCTGATGGCCCAGGACCCAGCAGAGGCCTCAGGGAGCAGCGTGACCCCAGTGCTGGTTAGAACCCCGGGGCCTTTCTCCTACCAGGCTGTGCATCCAATTCCACAAAAGCAACAGCTGCTGCCACTTGGCCACCACCCAGTCCTATTGCAGTGAAATAGGGCACTTTTTTAACAAGGATGTTTATTGTGTTCTTGAGCAGGAGAGGGCCCACAGAAATGGCAGTGCATTGAATGATGGGCAGACGATCATAAAACTGTCCCTCTGACATGATAAGTGGCCATGAATGGTGACAAGAGGGAGAGGAGTTCCCTAACAGATAGTAGACATCATCTAGAGCCAGCAAACCGCGCTTCCCTGTTAAGATCTTAAGCATGCGCAGCTGGGGCAAATGGTGGCGTTTGACCTGTAGATAACATTTCTCTTGGGGCGCCGGACCAGTAAGGGCAAATCGCCCCAAGTGAGCATGCGCACAACCTCAGTTAAGCGCACTGCGCATGCGGCCCCTCCCAAGTGCTGGCTGGCCATTGCGCTTGCAGGGATAGAGCAATAGCCTGCCCAAGGGAGGAATCGAGGAGAAAGAGAAACCCCAGAACCAAGCCAGTGTATAAAAATCCCGAGCCAAGGCTGAGCAGGGCACTTGGTCTCTCAATTGCACTTTGCTTCTTTCAATAAACCTTTGCCTCTGTTTAAAACTTGCCTCTGTCTCTCAGCTGAATTCTTTCCCCTGAGAAGACAAGGGCTGGGAGTGCTGCGGACTTGCTGCCGGTAACATGCCGACTACAGGAGTTTTTACCGAAAAGGTTTTGAAAGACCCAGAATTTGGCATCCATAGTATCTAGAACACTGAGTGGCAAATAATAAATAATTTAGGAATAAACAAACCTTATGTTTTTCTTTATGGACTCTGGGGCCAGATGGCCTGGATTTGAATCCTGACTCTCCCATGGGGTGACTTTGGGCACTTTGTGACTCAGTTTTCTCATCTCTAGTTGGGTTCAGCCAAAGGGTGGGATGGCAGGAGGTCAGATGTCATAGCACGTTTCCCTGCTCTCTTCTTCTCTTGATCGTGTTAAAAGTAAAATGCTCAGTGCCGCAAAGTGGAACCAACACTCAGCAAAAGTTTTCTCAGCAAGGCAATTTACTTCTGTGGAAGGGCGCCTCCTGCATGCAAGGCAGAGGCAAGGGAGAGTGCTCAGAACAAAGGAGGGCAGGAGTTTTTATTCCTAATGCAGATCCTGTTCCTGTGTCCTCCCCCATGGGCTGTGGTCAGATCGCACAATCTAGGCTAATTCTGATTGGCTATTGTTGACTTCATCAAAGGAGGCAAGGGTTGGCTTTTGACAGGTTGGAAGGATGGGTACATAGGTGATGGGAGATGCTTGGGTGTGTTTGGTCACAGCAGAGATAGGGAGGCTGATAGATGAATGGGTAAGATTACTTTTTAGATAGAGCAAAGAACCAGAAACCAAAACCCTTTGAAGAGGAACTATTTGTTCTTAACAACAGTCACAAGTGTGGCAGTGGCTGTGTCCTTCCCGATAAGTCCTGTCCGTGGCTCCCACTCTCTCCCTGGGCTGGGATACCCAGATGCTTTCCTTTGCTGCTTTCCCTGGTTGGTTTTCTCCAGCTTGTCCCTCAGCTTAGAAATAGCCTGTTTATTCAAATCCCAAGAACCATTGGAGTTGGAGTCTCTTTTCCTGCCTGAACCCTGATGGGCACAATTAGCAACACTGAGCATTTCTTCCGCACTTATTCATCCTTTGTGCAAATGCCTGCCTCTTGCAGAGAGCTTTGAATCTTTTTCCAAAGTCTGTACAGGATTTTGTCAAGGCCATGCTCCTAATGGGCTGGGGGAACTAGAACAAACTCCACCCTTTCTGTTCCTCACGTTCCCCCAAATGCAGATGACGGCTGGGGACTAGGACAACTTTTCAGAAACAAAGACATGTAGGCAATCCCCCAGGGATCTTGTTTAAATGCAAATCTTCCTCCATCCTGTTCTTCTGGGGGCTGAGCCTCCGCATTTTAACAAGCTCCCTGGTGAGGGTGATGCTGCTGACCATGGACTGTGCTTCGAGCTTCGGGAACAAGAGATTAAAATGAGCTCCGAGTTCCCTTCAAGCTCAGCAGTTCTCTAACTCTTCACTCTCCTTTTCCACAGTTTTCTATGACGGTGCCCACACTCCTGAGAACACTGACTCATGAAAGAGAATGATGTTATGCATTCCTGAAGTTTTGAATCTCTGCAGGGTACTTTGGAGTTGGGAGTTTAATATTTATGGCAGCCTTTCCCCAAGCCACATCACCTGCAGATCTGAATGTGTGCCTGTGTGCACACATACGTACAGAGACACACACATGAACCCTGAGACATGCAAGCCTACAAAATAAAAGTGGTAATGTCAGTGATGATCCTTTGTGGCTTGAAGGTTGCGTGTCTTGAAATGCCAGGAGCCCCCCTGGAGCAGGGCTGTCCGTGAATACACAGCTCTTCACCCCAGAGAGCCCTTGTGTTTACAGATGGGGAAACTGAGACCTAGAGAGGGAGAAGAACTGGTCCAGGTTACACTGTGAGCCTATTGCTGAACTGGAGAGGATAAACCCAGATGTCTGGCCAGCCAGGGCCTCTGATTCTTGGGGTCAGGCCTATTCAGGCAGACAGACCTGGATTATACTTTGAGAATCACTGACATAATGATTTTGGGTTATGCAGGTGTGGGTTGAAATCCCAGATCATTTTTAAAAGAAATGCTTATTGATCACCTACTATATGGCAGGCATTGGGAATACTACTGTGGCAAGACAGATATAGTTTGTTTTTTGTTTTTGAGGCAGAGCCTCACTCCATCACCCAGCCTAGATGGAGTGCAGGGGCATGATCTCAACTCACTGCAACCTCCACCTTCTGGGTTCAAGCGATACTCATGCCTCAACCTCCCAAGTAGCCAACTACGGGGATGTGCCACCACACCATGCTATTTTTTTACTTTTCATGGAAACGGGGTTTTGCCATGTTGCCTAGGCTTTTCTCGAACTCCTGGGCTCAAGTGATCCGCCCGCCTCAGACTTCCAAATTGCTAGGATTACAGGCATGAGCCACCGCACCTGGTCAGATATAGTCTTTACAGTATAGTAAGAACTGCATTTATTCAATTAGAGCAAACTTGGATTACTCTTGTCAGCCCCTGTACCGCAGATTTGACATGTATTTGATCCTCATAACAACTTTATGAGGTAGGTAGTATTATGATGTTCCCTTTATAGATGAGAAATTGAAAACCTGAGAATTAAGTGTACTGCCCAAAGTCACACAGCTGGTGAACAGCGGAGCTGGGGTTTAAACCCAGGATGTCTAGGATCGCAGCTCATACTCGTAACCCCTGTGCCATGACCCTATCAATCATAGCTCTGATTCTTCCCAATAACCTCGTGCCAAAGAAGAAGGCAAGGCTTTATCTATCCTTTTCAAAGTAGGAAATAGGGGACAAGAGAGGCTAAGTAACATTTGCAAAGTCACACAGCCCTTTGGGGGGCTGGATTCATGTTTGAAATCACCGCTAGGTGACTCCTGAGCCCAGTCACTGAACGCTTAGCTTAGCAGGCCACGTAACCTTTCTACAGACTCCTCATCTGAAAACGGAAGGCCACCTTGTCTACCTTTAGCGATTGTCATGAGGATTAAATAGGATAAAAAACCTGAAGAGATAGACCCAGGGCCATAGCTGCTCACGGCCACTAGAGGTATATGGCAAAACGATGAACACAGCGCTTAGTCTTCCTGTGCCCCTCCCCGCTTCTCTCCTTGCATAGGGTACTCCTCCCTCACATTTATTTAATAAGTCAGCATTTCTAAAAGGAACCCCAAGAAGGCAATGCTTATCCCAGAAAGGAGACTGCTCTCATGGTGAGCTTTTAGGCAATTCGGAATGAACAATCCTTTTTAAATTTTCTTTCATTGTTTTTTTTTTTTTGCCACTTTATTGACATATATTTCAAATACTGTAAAATTCACCCATTTAAAGCGTACAATCCAGAATTTAATTTTAGAACATTTTCAACACCACCCAAAGAAACCCCGAGCACACATTAGCAATCATTTGCAGCAGACGATTCTTAGCCTGAAGGGAGAAGCTGCTCCAATAGTGGTTCTGGAGCCAACTTGGCAGAACCTCTGGAGTGTGTCGGGGAATGCTGCTCCAGCCCTAACCCCAAACAACTGCCTTTCCTCAGCCATTAGAGAGAAGTTTCCAGGCACAATGTGTTCCACTCACCAATCTTCAGGTCCAAGAAATATTTAGGTTGATGCAAAAGTAAATGTGGGTTTTTTGTCACTAAAAGTAATGGCCAGGCCAGGCATGGTGGCTCATGCCTATAATCCCAGCACTTTGGGAGACTGAGGCAGGTGGATCACCTGAGGTCAGGACTTTGAGACCAGCCTGGCCAACATAGTGAAACCCCATCTCTACTAAAAACACAAAAATTAGCCAGGCATAGTGGTGTGTGCCTGTAATCCCAGAGAGGCAGAGGCAGGAGAATTGATTGAACCTGGGAGGTGGAGGTTGCAGTGAGCTGAGATCAAACCACTGCACTCTAGCTTGGGTGACAGAGCAGGACCCTGTCAAAAATAAAATAAAATAAAAAGGCAGGGCACATTGGCTCATTGGCTCACGCCTGTAATCCCAGCACTTTGCAAGGCCGAGGTGGGTGGATCACAAGGACAAGAAAAGGTCAAGAGATCAAGACCATCCTGGCCAACATGGTGAAACCCCATCTCTACTAAAAATACAAAATTAGCTGGGCCTGGTGGCACATGCCTGTAGTCCCAGCTACTTGGGAGGCTGAGGCAGGAGAATCGCTTGACCTCAGGAGGCAGAAGTTGCAGTGAGCTGAGATTGTGCCACCGTACTCCAGCCTGGCAACAGAGTGAGGCTCTGTCTTGAAAAATAAAAACAAAAACAAACAAACAAAAAGAATGGCCAAGACTGGATGTGGTGGCTCATGCCTGTAATCCCAGCACTTTGGGAGGCCAAGGTGGGTGGATCACTTGAGGTCAGGAGTTCAAGATCAGCCCAGCCAACATGATGAAACCCCATCTCTACTAAAAAAACACAAAAATTACCCAGGCATGATGGCACATGCCTGTAGTCCCATCTACTCAGGAGGCTGAGGCAGGAGAATTGCTTGAACCTGGGAGATGGAGGTTGCAGTGAGCTGAGATCACACCACTGCACTCCAGCCTGGGCAATAGAGCAAGACTGTGTCTCAAAAACAAACAAAAAGTTTGAGCAATTCCTATCATGGGTGATGAAGAATGCTATCAGAATTAAATGAAATCATTTACGTCCTTTGCTTGGCTTCTGAGAGTGTTTGATCAATGGTGCTTCTTTCTTGTGTGGCCCTAGAGCCTCTACCTCCATTTAACAGAGAATCAATGATGTCAGCAGAAGTGTGTACATTTTTCTTTAAAAATAAAATAAATACCCTTTATCTGCTTTTGCTCACTACGAATTCTTCTCTCCAATTTTACCATCACCAACCTGGTTGAAGCTTGAATAACAACACATTCCTATTTTGTGCCTACCCTTTTTCACTCTTGCCCTTCTGATGCTTTCAGAAGTCACAACAAAACATTTTAAAAACTAAATCTGGTCGTGCGATCCCCCACTCCACTGTCTGCATCAAACCCTTCCAGTATGTTATTGCTTATCCTTCTGGTCTCAGAGTAAATGTCAGCAGCATAGAAATGCCTTCTGGGACTCCTCAATCAATTTGAAATACAATCCATAAAACCCCATCGAATGGACTGAGATAGCCCCATCTGATGTCCCATGGGAGGAAATGGCCCAAAGCCCCCAAGAAAGCTCCTCAGGATTCTAAAGACAGTCTGGGCTGGTGATCTGGCTTCCACACCAGGGCCCAGAGAGTCATGAGTGCTAATTGCACTCAAAGTTGTGACTGAAGCAGAAAGCCCCAGTGGCTGCTGTCACCTGGTGCAGTGTTCTGCATTTGGGCACAATGGCTGGGCAGGAGAACATGGATGAAGGGGGTCATAACCATGGAGCCCAAGTGTGGAGCAGGGAAAATGGGCTGAGCAGGCTAGCTGTTCAACAGCGACACCGTGTGGTGGTGACAGGAGCAACAGTCCTAGTGGACGGGTGACTACTGCACAGGACAACGGGCTGTGCAGAGCGATTGGTCAACAGCGACACCATGTGGCAGTGGAAAGAACAACAGCACAGTGGGCTGATCACTCTCCAGATACTGTGTGACATTAGGAATTTGGACTAAGAAAACTCCAAGGACACTTGGAACAATGAGACTTTCTGTTAATGGAGGCTGTGGAGACTCAAGAGATTAATTACAGAATTAAAAAGAGATGGTTATATCTGTGCTGTAAACTGGCACTGTCAGCCACATTGGTTACAGCCAATGAATCATAAATAAATGAACATAAAACAAGAAACAATGCGAGCACACAGAATCCACAGGAAAAAAGCCAGAAGTTTTTTTTCATGAAGCACAAATGGAAATTTCTTGGTTACAACTGAAACAGAATTCCTGGAGGAAATATCTGTGCAGCCTTAGCCCTTGAAAGAAGCTCATAACCCTAAAATACACACCACACACTTCCAGTGAATGAGGTTTCCTCATGTTTAGATCATTTCTGAAACTGAGGAAATTTGCAAGAGGCTCTTGGTTAAGATCCGGAGAGGATTCCCTGGGGAAAGGCAGCTTGTGCCCCACGGCCCATCAGGAACAGGTGCAGCTGAGAGCCCCCAGCACCCCTGGCGCCTTCATTTATAGACAACATCTGCACCAAACAGCAGGAAGTTCTAGGGAGAGAAGGGAATGTCATCACCAGTTGAAGACGCACCCCCTGTTTGTGAGTGTGGAGCTGCTGGAGTTTTAAGAAGGACATTTTGGGAGCCTGCCTGTTGGGAAGGAGAAAGGCAGGGCCAGTGGGGACCACTCAGTGTCTCACAGCCTGGATCTGCTCATCGACAGCTGCCAATGCCCGCGAACCTGTCAGCAGCTTCCCTGGACGCTGCCTCCTTCTCAGACTCGGAGGGCCCCCGGGCTGTTTTAGAGGCCTTCATTTGTCATCCCTGCCTCATGGCAGCTCAAGGGAACACTTGTTCCAATCAAGGCTGCAAAACCACTTCTCTTTGCTCCTTTGTGCCTCTCACTCAGAATTTTTAGAAATGAAGAAATTAAATTGTGCCATGGGTCATTGTTTTTAAAGCACGAACTTGGTAAAATGTGGGGAACATGCAGTATGTGCTTCCTCTGCGCTCTTGGCTATTTCTCTACAGCCTCTCAGCCTCATTAATGAGCTCCCCGGTCTAAAGAATTGGGGATTGATAGGCTGGACATTGGGGGAAAGGGAGAGGGAGGGATCTGGGTGATGTGAGGCTTTCCATGAGGGCAAGTTATCAGGAAAGATTCGACCAAGATAAGGAATACAATGCTGGGTGGCGGTTTTGCTGCAGAGGTGACAGCTTTGCGGGGACGTGCTGGGTTTAAGAGGCCTCAGGGTGGAGACACTGGGGGAGCCCGCAAATGCACAAGTGGAGAGTTTGGAAAAAAATGAAAAGACTGGGAGTGTGGCTGGGACACCAGTTAGCACATAGGTGGCAGCTAAGCCTGATGAGGCTGATGAGTGTGAGGAAGGCTAGTCAATTATGGGGGAAGAGAAGAGGTCTGCGGAGGGGTCCTGGGGATCTCCAGCTTGCAGAGAAGGGGCGAGAGAACAAGCAGAGGAGATGGCAACTGCCCAGTGAGTGAGGCGGGCACACAACCAGGAGCCAGGGGAATGCTGGAAACTCAGAGAAGAAAGCACGTCCAGGAAAGGCGTCAGGGGCAAATGCGGATGGAGGTCAGGCTGGGCGAAGCCGCGAGGGAGGCTTCTGTGCTGTGTCTAAATCTGCCAGACATCGACCACATGTTACACCCCATAGTGCCTGCTGTGAGGCTGGTGCAAAAGGCGTGCAGCATATATTTGTTAAATATTTAAATGCACCTTATAAAAGAGGCTCTTTGGCCCATAAACGCATTTCATTTTTGCCGACTGTACCGTGGGAACGAGGCAGTGATGGTTCAAAGCTGGGAGCCTGGCTTTGAATCCGGACTTCGTTTGACATGTGTGGCGTTTCTGAATTTTGATCTTTCTTCTTTGTTTATTCAGAGCACCCACGTCCCAGGGTTGTGGTAAGGGTAGAAAGCACTTGGCGCAGGGCTTGGCATGCAGGAAGCATTGCAGCAACGGGCTGCTACTGGCCACGATTGTTAGGAGAGATTTGTGGAAGACCCTGGGACTCACCTGGTGAGGCTGAAGCACCATGTTGTAGAACTGGACCCTGGCAGGCATCGGGAGAGGGAAGCCTTTCTGCAGCCTCTCTGTGATGGAGACCACTGGTAAGGACCAGGAGAGGAGAAAGAGAAGGGCGGGGGAGGAGGGAAGGCCAGAGCGCCTTGGTAGGCAGCCTCCCTGAATCTGCATGCCTGGGCCTAGGAAGGCACTGGCATGGGCGTACATGCCTGCGAGGAAGGCTGCCCTGGAGTCCGTCCCTCCCACCTGTGGCCCATCAGCCCCAAGTCCACTTCTAGGACCTGCGTGGGCTCCATCCCCATGACGGCCCGCCTGAGGGAGCAGCGTAGCTGGTATCCACTAAACCACAATCCGCTGCGTGCAATGGTGTGGACAGACGTGGATGTGTAATTAGGGGTATCTATGCATGTGTGCATGAAACCTCTCAATGTTTAGGATAAAGCCAGAGGTGGACAGTGGCCAGGGCAAGCACCCCAAATACCGCCACATGGAACTTCAGAGAACTCCACCTTAGAACGTGATCTCCCAGGTCATTATAAAGCTACATTTGTCAAGGTGGGAGGACAGATCAGAGGACTGATGGATCACATTTCATACGGTAATTTGTTGGATTGTCGATAAGTTCTAAATATCCTAGTCCCAGGTTATGTGGGCCTCTATTTGTACTTTTGCCCCTTGCTCTTAAAGGTCAGGGGCAGGCCTGCCTGAAGCTCTTACCAGCGTGGTGATCTAAGCTCTGGGTGGGGTTATCAGGAGACCCCCTTATCCTTCTACCAGAGTTGGAAAAAGACCATGGGCTTTGGCTTTAGAGATGGGATCAAATCCACGCCCCAGCTCTTGCCTGCTCTGTGACCTAAGTCACTAAACCATTTTGTTCTTCCACTTCCTCCCGAAAAAGTTGGAGATGTTAATAATTCTTCATCTCTTGGGGGTTTTGTAAGGGCTGGAGGCAATAATGAATCAACCCAAGTGTAGTAAGTCAATCCAGGTAAGCTCCCTTTTTGTTCCATCCCGTTCCTGGGTTAGATGCCATTTGAGCTTCACTTGACAGCATCATTGCCCAGCCCTCCTACCTGGGCCAGGTATTAGGCGACTCTAGGTAATAACCCCCACCCTCTTCCCCATGACTAAAAACCAATGATTTCTCCGAAGTTCCTTACCGTTAACCCTGGGCAGCACAAGGGTGGGTACAATGTAGTTCATGATATCCTGCAGCAATTCAACCTGGAAATCAGAGGGAGGATGGGAGGACGGCCCTGAGTGGCCAGGGCCCCGTGGGACCGGCGGCCCTCTGTCACCCTCCCTCTGTCAGCCTCCTTTCCCCTAGCGCTGCTCAGCAACCGCACAGCGGGGAGGACTGCAGAGAGGTGGACGCGAGTGACATGTAAAAACTTGGCAGCCCAGTCAAGGTCATGGAAGTGGTTTGTTTTGCTCCGATGGTTCCAGATGTAAAACGTGTTCTCCATTGTAAGGTGCAGGGCCTTACCACCCACGGCAAGGATGAGGAAGGTCATCAGAGAGTATTTAAATGGGAAAAGCTTGGCTTAAAAATGTGTCCTCTCAGACATGGCAGTTAGAGGGCAAATTGAATCAACCATTTTGAGGGCTATTTGGAGCAATGTTCATCAGAAGCCTGTGTGTGCCTGGTCAGGCTTGGTGGTTCATGACTGCAACCCCAGTGCTTTGGGAGGCTGAGGCAAGGGGATCACTTGAGACCCGGAGGAGTTGAAGACCAGCCTGGGCAGCGGAGCAAGACCCCCATGTGCCTTTGGGCTAGCAAACATGCTTCCGAGGAATTTATCCTAAGGAAATAATGTAGGGTGTAGAAAACAATTTGGATGCAAGATGTTGACCAAAGCAACAAATTTATCCAAAACAATAAATTAAAAGCAACCTCCACATCCAACAATAGGGGAATCACTTGGTGGAAATGGTAGTACTTTAATGGAAGGAAATGTCATGCAATTGTTAAGAATGATATTGTAGAAATGTAAGTATCAACACAGAGATAACCATGATACACTTTTGGGTGAGGAAAAGCAGGCTGTAGAAATCACATCATTCCATTTTTTAATTAAATAGGTGTAGTAGAAAGTCGGGAAGAATATTCTCCAAATTATTCACTCAGTGATGAAAATTTGCACGGTTTTTATTTTCTGTCTTTTGCAAATCTGTAGGTTCTGATTGCCCTACGGTACATATGTTTTGCTTTGGCAATAATTAAAAAAAAATTAAAAATAGTGTAAAACACTCAAGATGCTTGCCTGTAGCCGTGAAATTTACAACTGGTAAATGTATATGCTTTTGTTTCTGGAACAATCGAGTCTCCTTCCCTGGCCTGTTATTCCCTGGCCTCACCAAATGCAGTGCCCTCCTTCCTGTGAATCCTGGGAACTTTACATTTCTATTTTCTGCAGAAGTAGAAATTAGTTATGGACTTGGTCAAGCCACCAAGACAGCCTTGGAACAAATAAGTCCAGGAAAGTACAGTGACGTTGCATTTGGTCCTTCCGTTTAGAATCTCATCAGATGGAAATGGCTGGTTGGGTTTATATCAGATTTGAAGGGACATTGGGATGGTATGACTTTGGGCTTGGGGGGCTTACGAGGCACTCACTTGGTGGAGTCATCTCAGGAATCTTAAGGAAAAGTTCTGCAGAGCAGCAGACACTGGGATTCAACCAGAGCCCACCAGGAGATTCAGGCCAATGTAGCAAGACCCTGGACAGCCGACCGCGGCATCTGAGGTTACACACAGGCAGGTGCTCTGCGTGGCTGGCGTTGAACAGCAAGGGCGACTACTTCCCAGTAACAGGGCAACTCGTCATCAGCGCCCCTCGTGAGGGCAGCAGGGGCAAATCTACTTAACGATGAGCAGTGACTCCTGGGCAGTGGAACCGCCTACTTGAGCTGGGGTTCTCCCTGCTTCTGCCTCTTCTACCAGACCTTTCTCATGCCCGTACACGGCTCTGCCATTCATCCAACTGCTTCCCCCAAAACTCTAGAATTCACCTGGACAATCCTTTCCTTCCCCACACAGCCATGAGGGAGGCTTCTGTGCTGTGTCTGAATCTGCCAGACACTGACCCCATGTTATACCCCGCAGTGCCTAGTACAATGCTGGGTGCAAAAGAAGCTGTGCAACATATATTCATTAAATATTCAAATGCACCTTATAAAAGAGGCTCACATCTCTCCCTAGGTTCTGTCTAAATCGACTTCCAAAACATGTCTCCAATCCATCATCTTTCTCTTCTTCCGGGCTGAGTCCCAGCCCCCAGCATCTCCCATGGACAAACACACCAGCCTCTCCTCGTCTGTAATCCACACCCCCACCCCAGCCAGAGGGAGCTTTTACAAAGTTATAAATCTGCTGACAGCACTCCCTGCAGGAAACAGGGCACTGCTGCTCACTGCCTGTGAACACATCGCGTCCCCTCCTCTAGCCCAGCCCGGAAGGCCCTGGGTGAGCCCGTCCATACCGGCCCCTTTGGCCACGTCTCCCCCGATGCCCCTTACTCACTCTGCTCCAGACACACAGGCTCCTTCCATTCCCCAAATGCACCAAGCTTGTTCCCACCACGGCGCCTTTGCCCCTGCTGTTTCCTCTGCTGCTTCCTTCTCATCCTTCAGTCCAACATCACCTCCTTGGGGAGGCCTTCCCTGACCACACCCTCTGATGCTTCATTCTCCCCCATCACTTTCCACCCATCCCAACTTTGGTTTTCGCAGCTTTGATTGTGACTGAAATGATCTTCTCTCTCTCACTCTCTCTTTTTTTTTTTTTTTTTTTTTTTTTTTTGAGACAGGGTCTCACTCTGTTGCCCAGGCTGGGGCGCAGCGTCGCATGATCTTAGCCCGTGTGACCTGGAACTCCCCGGCTGAAGCCATCCCCCTGCCTCAGACTCCCACGCATCCGGGACTACAGGTGCATGCCAACACACTCACCTAATTCTTATTTTTTATAAGAGATGATGTCTTGCTATGTTGCCCAGGCTTGTCTTGAACTCCTAGCCTCAAGCACTCCTCCTGCTTTGGCCTCCCAAAGTGCTGGGATTATAGACGTGAGCCACAGTGCCTTCGTTTCTTACTGTGCTGTCTTCCCACTGCCATCTAAGGCTCTGAGAAGGCATCACTTCCCTGTCTTGTGCATCAGCCTATCCCACACTTGGAGCAGTACTTTGCACCTAATAGGTGCTCAATAAAGTAATCCATTTGTTCACTCAACAAGTATTTGCTGAGCAGATTTTCTCTATCAGATCATGCATATTTAATCCCATTTAAACTGTGCTACACTCACTCCGGTGGGGAAGACCCGGAGTTCAGAAAAGGGAAGTGACTTGCCCAAGGCCCCAGAGTTAGCAGGCATGGAGCAGGTATTCTGACTCAGATCCCTCTGCCCTTGAAGCTTCTCAAACCATTAGTTCACAACTAAATTACATGCAAATGAACCAGGAGCTGCCTAAATAATGCCACGAACCCGTGACATGTTCCCACACCCCACCAGGCCAGGAGAAGGAAGAAGCCACCAGGGGCCTCAGACTCACCGGGAAGGGGCCGATAGTGGAGTGCTTCAGTTCCAGGAGCAGCCTGTGAGAGGGTGAGGAGGGCACTGAGATCACCGATTGCTTGACTACTGTGAGAACCAGTTTCTAGAGAGGAGAGACCCATTCCGGTGATACTCCCCAGTTTTCCCACCCACTATCCATTTCCCTTTCACCGGTCACAGACCCCTGATGTTTCCTCTGGAGAATTCACACATTCCCTGCATCGTCAGCGCCGTTGACCCCACACTGAGCTCTGGGCCGTGCTGGCCAAAGGACATTGTCCACCTCTCCTGCCACAGTCATTGCTGCAAGGATGGACCTGTGACCTACACTGGCCTCATGAAAGTTGGTCCCAGGACTTCCACTGGGAATATTGGGAATGAGGTATTTTCTTTTCTCTGGGAAAATAAGGAAGCTCCTGGTGACTGTTTTGCCGCCACCTGGTGACAGCCTGCTGGGAAATGAAGCCAGCGTAGAGGACAGCAGAGCTGAGAGACGGAGACAGATTCCTAAGGACATCATTTGAGTACCTGGGTCTTTTCCTTGTCTGAAAACCTTGGATTTTTCAGTTTTCTGAGCCATTCTGTTCTTCCCCCTTTATGGCCTTTGTGACATTTTAACAGTGATCTCAGAGAAAGGGGGGACATATGGCTGCTTACTGAACCCCAACCATTCATTAGCTGTGTCGGGTGCTTTGTCCCACTGAATCCCAGTAACATTCCAAGAGGCAAGGGCCATTACACTCATTTTTACAGATGAGGAAACTGACACTCAGGTCAAGCAATGGTCCAAGGTCACACAGCTAACATTAGCAAAGCAGGGTTTCTTTTCTTCCTTCTTCTCTGAGATGGGGTCTCACTCTGTGGCTCAGGCTGGAGCGCAGTCACGGCTGTACTGCAAAGCAAAATCACAGCTCACTGCAGCCTCAACCTCCCTGGGCTCAAGTGATCCTCCTACCTCAGCCTCCCAAGTAGTTGGGATTACAGGTGCGTGCCGCCATGCCCAGCTAATTCTTAATTTTTTTTGGTGGAGATGGGGGTCTCACTATGTTGCTCAGGCTGTAATAAAGCAGGGCCAGCACATTGGAAGGCCAAGGTGGGCAGCTCACCTGAGGCCAGGAGTTCAAGATCAGCCTGGCCAACTCTGGGAAACCCCATCTCTACTAAAAATACAAAAATTAACCAGGTGTGTTGGTATGTGCCTGCAGTCCCAGCTACTCAGGGGGCTGAGGCAGGAGAAACGCTTGAACTTGGGAGGTAGGAGTTGCAGTGAGCTGAGATCGTGCCACTACACAACAGCTTGGATGACAGAGCGAAACTCTCTCTAAAATAAATAAATAAGTAAATAAATAAAGCAGGGTTTCAAACAGGGCTCCTTGAAGGCAAAGCCCTGGTTGTCTCCAACACTGTACAAAGCTTGAAAACTTGACCTTGCTTCTCAAGAGTCAGTAGCCCCGGGGTTTCTGCTCCATGGGTCCTCACACCTGACCCCCATCTCCTGCATATCCCAGAAAGTCAAAGTCTGTGCTCAGCCCACACCCAGCTGTATCCTCTCCAGCTCCTTTATTTGAGACGCCCATGGGTGTTTCAAGAGAAATTAAATCCATATGTTTCCGAAGCAGTAACACTTGTCAACATGATGCCGGGAGAAATGAGCAGCACGTAAACCTCTGAGGGCCGTCTCAAGGTTAAAAAGGACGGCTTGGTGCCAGGGAGAAGGCGGGACTGGGCAGGGACGTGGGTCAAGGCTGCGTGAAAACAGTGCAAACGAGCTGAAGAGGCGGGTGCAGGTCTAACTGCAGGGGCCGCCACATCTGCTCGCTCAGGGTGTCTCCTTCCCTCGGCCCCGACGCTCCCTCCTCTGTCTGCCTGAGTGTCTCCCTCTGTCTCCCTGACTGTCTCCCTCTGTCTCCCTGAGTGTCTCCCTCTGTCCCTGACTGTCTCCCTCTGTCTCCCTGAGTGCCTCCCTCTGTCTGCCTGAGTGTCTCCCTCTGTCTCCCTGAGTGTCTCCCTTTGTCTCCCTGAGTGTCTCCCTGTGTCTCCCTGAGTGTCTCCCTGTGTCTCCCTGAGTGTCTCTCTCTGTCTCTCTGAGTGTCTCCCTCTGTCCCTGAGTGTCTCCCTCTGTCTCTCTGAGTGTCTCCCTTGTCTCTCTGAGTGTCTCCCTCTGTCTCCCTGAGTGTCTCCCTCTGTCTCCCTGAGTGTCTCCCTCTGTCTCCCTGAGTGTCTCCCTCTGTGTCTGCCTTTCCTTTTCTACATCTCCTTTTTTACCTTTCCTGCCACAGTCATTGATGCAAGGATGGACCTGTGACCTCTGCTGGCCCCATGAAAGTCGGCCCCAGGACTTCTGCTGGGAATATTGGGAATGAGGCATTCTCTTTTCTCTGGGAAAGTAAGGAAGGTCCTGGTGACTATTTTGCTGCCACTTGGTGACACCCTGCTGGGGAACGAAGCCAGCACAGAAGACAGCAGAGCCAAGAGATGGAGACAGATTCTCCCTCCCTCTCTTCCTTTGTGTCTGTCGCCTCTGAGTGTCACTCTCTGTGTCTCTGCCTCTTTCTCTATGTCTCACCCTCCCTTTCTGTATTTTTTTTCTTTAGAAAATCTGATTGTTTATTTTGAGACAGGGCCTTTCTCCGTTGTCCAGGCTGGAGTGCAGTGGCTTGAACATGGCTCACTGCATCCTCGACACCCCAGGCTCAAGTGATCCTCCCACCTCAGCCTTTTGAGTAGCTGGGACCCCAGGCATGCGCTACCACGCCTGGCTAATTAAAAAACTTTTTTTTTGGGCCGGGCGCGATGGCTCAAGCCTGTAATCCCAGCACTTTGGGAGGCCGAGGCGGGTGGATCACGAGGTCAAGAGATCAAGACCATCCTGGTCAACATGGTGAAACCCCGTCTCTACTAAAAATACAAAAAATTAGCTGGGCATGGTGGCGCGTGCCTGTAATCCCAGCTGCTGGGGAGGCTGAGGCAGGAGAATTGCCTGAACCCAGGAGGTGGAGGTTGCGGTGAGCCGAGATCGCGCCATTGCACTCCAGCCTGGGTAACGTGAGTGAAACTCCGTCTCAAAAAAACAAAAAAAAAAAAACAAAAAAAAAACTTTTTTTTTTTTGTAGAGACAAGGTCTCACTATGTTGCCCAGGCTGGTCTCGAACCCTTAGGCTCAGGCAGTCCTCCCACCATGGCCTCGCAAAGTGCTGGGAGAATGACGTGAGCCGCCACGCCCGGCCCTGTGTTTCTCTTTCTGCATTTCTGTCTTTCTCTTTCCCTCTTGCATATTGAGTGTTTATTCTATCCCTGGAAGTGTTCTTAACACTTCAGTGCATACTAATACCTCATTTCAGCTCGCAATGATGCTGTTGGCAAAGTCATTACTGGGCTTATGTTTTACTTTTTGAGACAAAGTCTCACTCTGTTGCCCAGGCTGGAGTGCAATGGGGCAATCTCGGCTCACTGCAACCTCCGCCGCCCGATTTGAAGAGATTCTCCTGCCTCAGCCTCTCAAATAGCTGGGATTATAGGGGCCCACCACGACGCCTGGCTAATTTTTATTTCACCAGGTTGGCCAGACTGGCTCAAACTCCTGACCTCAGGTGATCCACCTACCTCGGCCTTCCAAAGTGCTGGGATTAGAGTTGTGAGCCACCACACCTGACCTTACTGGGCTAATTTTATAGCCGGGGAACTGAAGTTGGCAGCATTTTGGTGCTTGCCAAGGTGAGCTGCGCTTCAAACACAGGCAGCCTGATGTCGGGGCTGCATTCCTAACCACAAACCCCCCTGCCAGGACTCAAATTAGGGTCATGTGGATTCTAGAGTCTCCCAGCAGAGCTGGGGCGAGAAGAAGTTGAAGTGGGATTTCCAAGTGTCAGGAAAGGCAGGACGTGGGATGGCCGGATACTGCTGTGGGTCAGTGGGGATCATAGCTGATGCCTCCCAGCCATGAGGACTGGCAGTGTCCTGGAATGCAGGACTGTCACTGCTGGAACTGGGACACTTGGCTGGTTGCAGTGGCTCATGCCTGTAATCCCAGCATTTTGGGAGGCCGAGGCGGGTGGATCACCTGAGGTCAGGAGTTCAAGACCAGACTGGCCAACATGGTGAAACCCTGTCTCTATTAAAAATACAAAAATGAGCTGGGCATGGTGGTGCATGCCTGTAATCCCAGTTACTTGGGAGGCTGAGGCAGGAGAATCGATTAAACCTGGGAGGTGGAGGTTGCAGTGAGCCAAGTTAGCACCACCGCACTCCAGCCTGGGAGACAGAGTGAGACTCTCAAAAAAAAAGAAAGAAAAAAAAAGAACTGGGACACTCATGGCTAAACTGAGATGGTTGGTCATCTACAATGTGTGACCTCGAATGAATCACTTTTTCTCTGAGCGTCAGGTTCCTGGTCTGCAAATGGGGGTGTTGTGGCCATCACACACTTGCGGAGGCTTAAATGTGATGAGCGAACAGGAAAGCAACAATACAGTGCTTCTGTACATACAGGGCCACTGCCATCCCACGGCCGCCAAGGACAGATGGCAGCCCCCTCCTCCCCCCACAGGCCCCCTTACCTATCTACGTTGAGCTCTCCAACAAGCCTGTCGGACCTGGCGCTGACCTCCAGGGAACCATGCGTGCTCTGCCAAAACAATAGCCCAGGGTGAAGTGCCCCGACCCAGGCGCCGTGCTGCAGGGCCTCCGAGCCAAGGAGGGTGAGCTTCACAACAGCTCAGCAGGGCAGTCCACCCCCTGCGGGGTCAGGCCACACAGCCGGGGAGTGGGGAGGCTTCCCGCGGCTTTGTGGCTGCTGAGTCCTAAACCGTCAGCTAGTTTCCATTTTCTCTCTCTACTTCCAGGACCATTTCAGAGTTCTTGGCCACTCTCGGAGGGGCTGTATAAGACAGACCTCAGGGCTGCAGTCCAGTCCAGCCCTGTTCTCACAATCCCTCATTCATTAATTCATTCAAAAAATATGTATTGAGGAGGAAGTCCCAGGTTCCCACCTCAGCTATTGTGTGCAGTCTGTGTGATCTTGGACGACCCCCCAGGACCTATTCTGTCTGCAAAGTGGGGTAACAGGTTGCAGCTTGGGAGACCCAGTGGACTTGCCCAAGGCCTCTAAGTGCTTTCTGGTGTGGAGAGTGTCTGAACCATGCCCTCAGTGGCCATATGGGCGCCACCAAATGACTGTGGAGTGACGGAGTTATCAAAGGGATGAATGCATAAGGCAACAATGGAGTGAAAACTGAGGCAAATGGAAGATTAAACAAATATATGAATGAAAGAATAACAAAGATATGCATGAATGAATAAATGACGGATGAATGAATGAACACATATACAAATGAATGATCAATTGAACAAAGGTGTAAGTAAATGAATAATTGAATAAATGAATCCATGTAGGAATCAGAAAAGGTATGACATATTTCAAGTCAACAATCTAATAAATAATGGAATGAATTAATAATTGAATGAATGAACAAATACAAAAATGCATAATTGAATTACTAAAGATGTAAGTGAATGAGTGGGAAATAGTAGACATATTTCAAGCCAACATGGAATGAATAATTGAATGAATGAGAAATTGAGTGGATGAATAATTGAATGAATAAGTAAACAAATGCACTAGTGAGTGGCTGGGTGAATGAACGCCTGCAGGAGCCAGCACAATTGAGTAAGTGGCTGAGGGTCAGGCTCTGGAGTGGCACAGTCCAGGTGTGAATCAGGACGGGACTCACACTTGGTTTCCTGAGTGGCTCAGTGTCAGGCTCTGGAGTGGCACAGTCCAGGTGTGAACCCGGACAGGACTCACACTTGGTCTCCTGACTCCAAGGACAGTGCTCTTGGGACTGTCTGGGGCTCCTCATCTGTCCACACCCAGGAACAGCTTACCATGCCGATCAGGAAGAGAGAAGCCAGGGAGGAGTTGGCGAGGACGGCAAAGGCCTGGATGTCCAGGGCAGGGAAGAAGGTGAGGCCGGTGGGCTGCACGGACAGTTGCGGCGGGACAGAGGCTGAGATGTGGATCTGCATCTTCATGTTGGGAAACATCTTGGCCACCTGCAGCCCCCAGTGGAGACAGCCAACGAAAGGAGGAGTTCCTGTTGAAATGTTTCTAAATCCTATCTTGCCCCACCCTGCTTAAACACCTCCAGTGTCTTCCCATTGCTCTTAGAATAAATCCTAAGATGGCAGAGTCTGGCAGCTGGCACCCTGCCAACCTCACCACCTGTGCCTCTGCCTCTTGTCTTCCATCTCCAGCCACATGGAACTCTTTCTGTGCCTCACACTCAGCAAGCTCTCTTGTCACCTAAAACCTTTGCACTCTCTGTTCCTCCTTGTTGAATGCTTTTCCTCACATTCTCTATCTTGGCTCTTTCCCTTCCTTCAGGTCTCTGCAGATGTCACTTTCTTAGAGAGCAGTAGTGGCTTCCAGGGGGAACTAAGGAGGGCCTTGGTGACCTTATTCCCATCTCTCTTAGCCTCTGATCTTCCCCAGGTGAACCCACAGTCTGAGTAAAAATAATGTGACCGTTATGCAAATGAAGCTTCAAGACAACACCCCTGGATACCACTACCAGCCACACCTCTCCCCACAACAGAGCTTCTCTGTATAGAAATTTCTGGGGTTTTACCACCAGAGAGGCTGCTATAAACAGAATGTTTGTGTCCCTGCAAATTCATATGTTGAAGCCCTAATTCCCAGTGTGGCTGTATTTGGAGACGGGCCTCTAAGGAAGTAACTGAAGTTAAGTGAGTTCATAAGGGTAGGGTCCCGATCCAATAGAATTAGTGCCTTTATAAGAAGAGACACCGAGAGCTCTCTCCCGCCCCCACCCCCACCACACATGCATTGAGAAAAGGCCCTGTGAGAACACAGCAAGAAGGAGGCAGTCTACAAGCCAGGAAGAGAGCCCTCACTAGAAACCAAATCCGCTGACACCTTAACCTTGGACTTCCAGCCTCCAGAGCTATGAGAAGTAAACCCTGTTGTTTATGCCACCTGGTCTGTGCCATTTTATTACAGCAGCCTGAGCAGATAAAGACAGAGGCCCTCCTTGACCATCTTGTCTAACGTAACCTCATCCACCTGTCGGTTTTACCGGTCACATTCCACATTATTTTTGTTATCGTTTTGGATATCTGAATGATATTTTTCTCTCTCCACTGGTCTGGGAGCTCCGGGAGGGCAGGGAGGTGGTCTATTTTGTTGGGTTCCCAACATAGGGGCCCAGGCACATGGTGGGCATTCAGTAAATATTTATCACATGAAAGACTCCCCACCCCCACCCTCTGCCAGCATCTACTCCCACACTTGGTCAAAAGGGTGCTTGGAGCCTTTCTCTGTTCTGGGGATGAAGCTGTTTCCTCCCCTTCATCCTCGGTTGCCTCTGGATCTTGTGTGTGTATGTTGGTGAGGGGTCTCATCATCCACTCAGCAAAGCCCTGTCCTCCCCAGAAGCCCCCAGGCCCACTAAAGGAAACCAAGGTCCTCCTTACCTCGGGTAGGAAGCTTCCAAAGAATTTGGTTGTCAGTCGAAATCTGGACTCCTTTGGAATCTGTAGCAAGAGAAGAGAAAAGGATCTCGGAGGATGCCGTTACAGGCAGAGCAGAGGGGGCGAGTTCCACAGGGGGTGAGAGACCGACTGTACACACAGTGGCCAGCCCCTATGTGACAACAGAGTAACCGACCCACAACCTCTGCAGCAACCAGTCCCGAAGACATACCACGCCTTCTGCAGCAGATGGTCCAGAATGGTCAGGAGCTGGTCAGTGAATGCCTGCTTGCTTTTTGCTCCTGAGAAAACCCAATCTGCCTTCAAACCGATCTCACAGGACGCCCCATTTCCAGCAAGGCCTGTCTCTGCCTTAGCGTGATGTTAGGACTGGATGACGGTCTGACAACTACTCAATCAATGTCGCTCTTTTTTTTTTTTTGAGACAGAGTCTCACTCTATCACCCAAGCTGGAGTGCAATGGCACAATCTCAGCTCACTGCAACCTCTGCCTCCCAGGTTCAAGTGATTCTCTTGCCTCAGTTTCCTGAGTAGCTGGGATTACAGGTGCCCACCACCACGCCTGGCTAATTTTTGTATTTTTAGTAGAAGTAAGCCTGGTCTCGAACTCCTGACCTCATGATCCACCCTCCTTGGCCTCCCAAAGAGCTGGGTTACAGGCGTGAGCCACCGTGTCCGGCCTTATGTTTCTTATTTGTTACTTCCTACATTCCAAACTCTGTGCTTGGTCCTCTCATAGACTAATATCTCATTTAATCAGACATTAATATCTCATTTAATCTTCACAACACCCGTTGAAGAAAAACAGTTATTGGTGTTTTACAGATGACCAAACAGGTTCTGAGAGGTGGGGTAACTGACCTGGGTCACCCAGCTGGAGAGGGGTGGGGTCGATACTGGAACTCAGCTCTAGCTGACTCTAGAGTCAACACTTTAACTTCCCCCACTGTGAGAAAAGCTCTTTCCAGATTTTCTGGAAGGTCTGCAGGACTCTGAGTCCAGTGCTCTTCCCATGCCCCCACACAGCCCGGCCTTACCATGTCATCTGTAAGGGTCATCTTCAAGACCCCAGCCTCTTGGTATACAAGCCCAGCTGTGTTGAAGAAATAGTCAGAGAGGCCCAGGTATACCATGTGGTCGTGGACAGCGGGAAACTCCATCACTGGTGGAGCAAAGGGAGGTGGATTGTGGTGGTTCAGACGGTAAAACTCCCCCTGGGGGTAGAGGCAACAGAGTGAGCCCAGATATTCTTCAGGAATTATAATTCAACATCTCCATTCAGGAAAAGATGGGCTGAGGACACCAGCTGTACACTCGCAAAGGAAACAGCAATGACTGGAAGCTAACAGTAGCGTCAAATGCCTCCTGGGAGCTGGTTTCTGAGTACTCCTCATGCCAGTCCTGGGAAGGCAGGTATAACTATGCTTCTTGTATAGGAGAGGACACTGAGGCACAGGGAGGTGAAGTGACTTGCCCAAGGTCACACAGCTGGTAAGTGGCAGAGCTGGGAATCGAACCCAGGCTTCCAACATCCCGTGAACATTTTCCTAACCACTCCATTGTCTCAACCACAACCTTGCTCAGAAGCACAGAAACCCTATGAAAAGAACAGTGAAATCCTGTTGGTTTCATCTGTGAAGTTAGTAAAATGGGAAAAGAGGTAGATTGATTTGAGTGTTTGTGTGCTTTGAACTGACGCTATCTGTGTTTGGTGAGAGCATTCATAAGCTGCTAGGGTTGTTTTTTATGTTTCTGAAGAGCAGTTTGGCAATATGTTGTAAAGGTGGATCATTTATTTAGCAAATAAATGTTGAGCTTAAAAAAGCAAATTTTAGTTGGATACATATGGTAGGATACCACTTATGTAAAATTTAGAGGCCCATAAAAACTATAAAAACACAGGCAAGAAGGCCACACACCAACATCATCAGCGTGGTTCTGGGGTGGGGGGAGATTAGCACACTCCATGGTTGTCAGTGGTCAACTCTGGGCAGGAGTCCAGGAGGTAAACAGGACTCTTCTTATTCACTGAGGATAATTACATATTGCTTTAAATTTAATCTTTTACTCTGTGCTATCATTTAGATACGTGTGGGTATTCATTTTCCTCTTAGTATGCCATTTGGTCTGACTATCCCACTTCTAGGAAATACTCAAGGATGGACAGAGGCACAATTGCAAGGATGGTCACTGCAGCTTTGGTTACATTTGTGGGAAAAAATGGAGATCCCACGTGTCCCAGGAGGGGGCACTATCCTCGTACCCTATCCCAAGCCGTCCTCTGAAAAACCAAGCAGCCAGTAAAGGGCTGCAGGAGGACATTTCATGGATGGCAAAGATATTCCTATCACATGTGTTGATTTTTAAAAGTTGTAAAGCAGAATGTATAACATGACACATGCAAATATATGTATGTGTGTATTTTGCTGTCTATATGTGAATACATGTGTGTGCATTTTTTCCTATTTCCATATTCTGGGTTTTGTGTGTATTTGTTTTTATGCCTATATATGTGTACATTTGTTTCTGTGTGTTTTCATGTGTATCTTTCCCTGTCTCTGCAAAGACAAGGGTTGGGGGCAGCTACACTTGTGTATCGATAGTGCTTATCTCGAGGTTGTAGACTTGGGTAATTCCTCTCTCTTTTTTTCTTTCTTTTCCTTCTTTCCTATATTTATTTCTGTGTTCCTCTGCAGTTTCTAAATTTTCTTTTTCACATTGAATTTGCTTTGAAACAAACAAATAAACTGTAAACAAGCAAATCATCAATGTGGAAGGACTGAAGGACAATCCAGGATGAATTTCAGAGTGGGACCCACTCCTGCTGGGGTGGGAGGGAAGGCTGCTCTGGGAGTGACAGCTGAGTGGACAGCCAGGTGGAGCACTATAAGAAGCCAGCAGGGGGAAGTGGGCATTGGGAGGGAAGGGAGTACCAGGCAGAGGGAACAGCTAGGACAAAGGCCCGAGGTGGGAGCAAGCTTCACCTATTTGAGGAAGTATAAGGCCAGTGTGTCTGGTTGGAGCATGGTGAATGAGGGAGTGAGCAGCATGAAATAAAACTCCATCCATCCATCCATCCACCAATCCATCCATCCATCCATCCCCCACCTATCCACCTACCCACCCATTCATCTATCCACCCATCCATCCACCCACTTATCCACTTACCTACTTATCCATCCATCTATCCATCCACTCACCCACCCACCCATTTATTCACTTACCCACTTACCTATCCATCTACCAATCCATCCATCCACCCATTCATCTATCCACCCATCCATCCACCCAACTTATCCACTTACCCACTTACCCGCCCATCCATCCATCCACTCACCCACCCACCCATTTATTCACTTACTCACTTACCCATCCATCCATCCATCCATCCATCCATCCATCCATCCATCCATCCACTCACCAATACATCCATCCATCCATCCACCCACCCACCCACCTATCCACCTACCCACCCACCCAGCCATCTATCCACCTTCCCATCTATTTATCCATCCAACCACACACCTACCCATGTATCCATATATTCATCTATCCACCCACCTACCCATTTTATGCTATCCATATATAGGCATAAAAACAGACACACAAAACCCACAATATAGAGCCCACCCACTCATCCACCTAACTACCAACCCATCTGCCCACCCACCTATTCATTTATCCATCCACATACCTATCCACCCATCACTCATCCATCCATCCACCAACACACCCATTCCCCCACTTACCCATCCACCCATCTACCCACCCATCTACCCACCCACCCATCCATCCATCCATATATCCATCCATCCATCCATCCATCCATCCATCCATCCATCCATCCATCCATCCAGCAAATAATTTGTTGAGCACCTACTCACATTGAATTTGCTTTGAAACAAACAAATAAACTGTAAACAAGCAAATCATCAATGTGGAAGGACTGAAGGACAATCCAGGATGAATTTCAGAGTGGGACCCACTCCTGCTGGGGTGGGAGGGAAGGCTGCTCTGGGAGTGACAGCTGAGTGGACAGCCAGGTGGAGCACTATAAGAAGCCAGCAGGGGGAAGTGGGCATTGGGAGGGAAGGGAGTACCAGGCAGAGGGAACAGCTAGGACAAAGGCCCGAGGTGGGAGCAAGCTTCACCTATTTGAGGAAGTATAAGGCCAGTGTGTCTGGTTGGAGCATGGTGAATGAGGGAGTGAGCAGCATGAAATAAAACTCCATCCATCCATCCATCCACCAATCCATCCATCCATCCATCCCCCACCTATCCACCTACCCACCCATTCATCTATCCACCCATCCATCCACCCACTTATCCACTTACCTACTTATCCATCCATCTATCCATCCACTCACCCACCCACCCATTTATTCACTTACTCACTTACCCATCCATCCATCCATCCATCCATCCATCCATCCAGCAAATAATTTGTTGAGCACCTACTCACATTGAATTTGCTTTGAAACAAACAAATAAACTGTAAACAAGCAAATCATCAATGTGGAAGGACTGAAGGACAATCCAGGATGAATTTCAGAGTGGGACCCACTCCTGCTGGGGTGGGAGGGAAGGCTGCTCTGGGAGTGACAGCTGAGTGGACAGCCAGGTGGAGCACTATAAGAAGCCAGCAGGGGGAGGTGGGCATTGGGAGGGAAGGGAGTACCAGGCAGAGGGAACTACTATGTGCCAAGCATTGGTCTAGGTGCCGCACATGGTGGTGAACAAAGCAGTCACATCCCCTTCTCTCTCATCATAGTGAGGGAGATAGACTTAAGACTGTGCGTGCGTGTGTGTGTGTGTGTGTGTGTGTGTGTGTGTGTGTGTACTGGTAACAAAGCAGGATGTGGGGGAAGAGGAGAGATCTATTTCAGTGACAGTGATCTGGGAAGGCCTCTCTAGGGAGGGAATGTTTGAACACAGACTTGAAGGAAGCAAGGGAGAGCTGCGTGGAAACCTGGGGGAGAGCACCCAGGCAGAGGAAAGAGCAAGGGCAAAGGTCTTGGGGAGGGGCAGGCATGGTGTGTTTCGGGAACGGCGGGGAGGCCAGTGTGACTGGGGCAGGGAGAGTGGGGAGAGGAGAGGGCAGTGGTGAGTCAGATAGGAATCAGGGGATGTTGTAAAATTTGTTTCCAAGGACTGGGGAGCCCTGGAGTGTCTGAGACAGGTTCTCGGGTGTGAGGGTGTGTGGTTCTTGGTGTCAGCCTCACCTTCATCTGTGCGTCCAGGGTCTCAGCTGTGATTGTTGGAGGTGCCACCAGACCATAGTCGATTCCAGCCACAGCATCTATTTTGGTCATCACTAGAGAGAAAGAAGACGGACCATGAGCTGGTTCCCATGGTAGCATCCCTGGAACCTGAAATGCAGGGTCAGAATACCCTAAAATTGGATCAAGAACTGCAGTGCAAGTTCCATTCCCAGCTCCTCCAGGAAGTCTCTTCAAAGGAGCTCGCCTTAAGGGAAAATGAGCCCACACCCCAGATTCACAGACACCACCTTACTCTCTTCTTCCAACATCCCTGAGGTGGGTGGCTAAGACATAGGGTCAAGGGCACGGAGAGACCTAGGCTTGAACCAAACTCTGTATGACCTTGGATAAGTCCTTGCACTTCTCTGAGCCACGTTTTGTCATTTGTAGAACAGAGATAATCCTAGTGACCTCACAGATGCTGGGAGAGTTTTGTGAGAAGGTGAAAGCCCAATGCTCTGTACAGGCAGAGGCTCAAAAGCCAGGGAGGATCATTGTTGGGATCATTGATAATAGCCCAGGCTGAGTCCCAGCTGGCTCAAGTCCGAAGAGTTTCTGTTTCCCAGCAGTAATCAGTGAGAATTAAATAGATATCGGCCCCTCCTTTATCCCTTTTCTTAGTCAGCAGGGAAGAAAACAAGGCTCAGAAATCCAGGTTGTCCAAGTGAGTGATGAAGCTGGGATTCAGACCAAAATCGTTTTCCTGCCTTGTGAGGTCAAACCTCAGGCACTGCAACTGCATCAAACCTGCCCAGGATGGGCTCCTATTCTGGAGGAAGACAATGCCTCTTAAGGCTCATGCCTGTAATCCCAGCACTTTGGGAGGCTGAGGTGGATAGATTTCCTGAGGTCAGGAGTTTGAGACCAGCCTGGTCAACATAGTAAAACCCTGTCTCTATTAAAAATACAAAAAATTAGCTGGGTGTGGTGGCAGGCACCTGTAATCCCATCTACTTGGGAGACTGAGGTGGGACAATCCCTTGAACCTGGAAGGTGGAGGTTGCAGTGAGCCGAGATCATGCCATTGCACTCTAGTTTGGGCAACAAGAGTGAAACTTCATCTAAAAAAAAAATGCCTCTTAAATGGGCATGTACTATGTGCCAGCCATGCCAGGCTTCACAGCAAGGTGGCCCGAGGGCAGCGGAAAGCCCAGGGTCTGGAGTGAAGGAAAGCTTGGCTCCAGATTTGATTTTGCTTCTGCGTCTTGACAGCTCCATGACTCTGGACGAGTCTCACCTACTCTCTGACTTTCAGGTTCCTCATGTGTTTTTTTTTTTTTTTTTTTTTTTTTTTTTTTTTTTTTTTTTTTTTTTTTTTTTTTTTTTTTTTTTTTTTTTGAGACAGAGTCTTGCTTTTGTTGCCCAGGTATGAATGCAGTGGTGCGATCTCAGCTCACTGCAACCCCTGCCTCCCGGGTTTCAAGCAATTCTCCTGCCTCAGCCTCCCGAGTAGCTGGGACTACAGGCACCTGCATGACACCTGGGTAATTTTGGTGTTTTTAGTAGGGACAGGGTTTTACCATGTTGGCCAAGCTGGTCTTGAACTCCTGACCTCAGGTGTGATCCGCCTGCCTCAGCCTCCCAAAGTGCTGGGATTACAGGTGTGAGCCACTGCGCCTGTCTAGGGTCCTCATTTGTGTAATGGGGAGAATAACGCCTCTCTCAGGTGAATGCTGGGAGGCTGAGGCGACAATTTCCTGAGAGCCTGCTGCAGTTCTTTGCAGCTTACCAATTACTTGGGGGTGAAGATTATTGTCCCTATTTTAAGGACATGGAAATTGAGGTCCAAAGAGAAGTGATCAATATCAGGTCTCAGGCCATTCATGTGTCTCTGGCCTCAGAGAGCTGGGGGTATTTGGCTGTTTGGCCCTTACAGAGCTGAGGGGATGAGGCGGTGTGGGCTGCTTGTCCCCCTCACTTCTGGACCTCGTGCAAAGACTTGACCCAAGGCTAGCTGCCACTTGAAAATAATCTACTGCTCTGCTCATTTCCACCAGGCCCAGACCTGTCTGGGAAAATCTTGCTGGGCCCATCACGTCCTCCCTGACTTCCTTGCCCCTCCCCTTTCTGTTCCATTCTATCCTTGATCCTCGTCCAGCCCTCACCTGGTAGAGTCTGGAAATACGGTTGCAGCTCAGAGGATACAGAGCTGGTCACTTTCTGGCAGACCTGGGGAGAACCAAACAAGTAATCAGGAAGGTCTTCCCATAGTGGAAAATGTCCTTTGGCAATAATGGGCCAGATGTGCCTTGCTTTCCTTGATTGTTTTCTTGAAAATTATGTAGCCAATCAAATTTCCCTTTTCTTTTTGGCCACTAGGGAGCTCAGAGTTGAACATGCAGCTTGGAAATAATGACTGCATATGACTGTACGGCCTACATATCTGCATTCTATTTCCTGCCCTGGTGTGTGGAACTTTCCTGAGGGGTGTTTATGTTATCTATTCTATAAAGTGAGTTTGTTTTATTTTCTTTTTTCTGTTTGATTTTGCTGTCTCAGATCCTTTATGGAATGAGGTGGTAAGCAAACACAAGGCAGTCAATGGTCAGCTTTCCCTTATCTGGGCTTTGGGAGCATGGGCAGGCTTTCTGCTTAAGTCTAGGTGGGCACCCTCACATTTGCCATGTATGGCCAGAGAAGCCATCCCCTGCCTGCCTTCACCACCCCACCCCAATTCCCCTGTCCCCTAGCCCATGGCTTGCAATGGAACAAATACTAGCCTGAGAAGACCTGTGTTGGGTCACACACTAACTTTGACACTGCTTTCCCATTTATCTAGACCTCTATTTCTTCATCTGTAAAACGGACCATGGCAAATTATATTTTCCATGCCATCGGCTCTTCTGTCATGTGGCCTTGGCACACCCCACCAGGAGATGGAGTCTGTGAACTTGCCACTAGAATCTGGGCTTGGTGACTTGCCTCTAAGCAACAGAACACAACATTCCTCACCTTTGTGTAGCTTAGAGGTGAGGTCACACGAGGCTGGGAGAAGCCTGGGCCCCACAGAGGGGCCACGCTAGTGCTTTGGGTCAATAGTCCCAGCAGAGCTGAGCCTTCAAGTCTTCCCAGCCCAGGCACAAAAGATGGGAGAGAGGCGCCCTCCAGGTGATTCTAACCTGGAGCCTTTGAGTCTTCCGAGATGAGGCCGCAGACCTCATGGAGCAGAGAGCTCAGCCATCCCCGTCATGCCCGGCTGACTTCCTGATGCACAGAATCCACGGACGGTGGTGGTTGCTTTATGATACCAAATTTTGGGTTGCTTGTTTCCAAGCAATAGAGAGCTGGGATATAGGATTAAAACCATAGCTTTCCCCTAACTAAGAGATCGGGGCTGGGGCTGGTGGTCAGACAAGCTCTTTTCTCTCCCAACGTTGCTCTCGAATGACCTTCCCCTCAGTAATTCAGCACAGTCTCTTCAATCCTTGTCTTTCTTGACTACTGGGTAGCTCCTGGCGTGGTTGCCCATTCTCTTCTAGAAACACTCCAAGGCCTTCTGCTCTCCTATCCCCTACAGGCTGTTCCCCTGGCTCCTTTGCAAGCTCTTCTTCCTTCACTGGAGATGTGGGAGCTCCGCCGGGCTTCCTTCCTGGCTCCCTGCCCCTTCCACTTAGACCCTCTTCTTGAACCATTCCAGGCATCCCTCCGCCCCTGCGGCAGATGCTCCAGTGCCCACCCACACTCTCTGGACTCAGAAGTGCCAAGAAGTCAGGTCCTTAAGAACGGTCTTCAACGAAAGAAGGGTGGGAGGTGGTAGACAAATCCCCCAGCCTTCCTCCTGTTTCTGGAACAGTTCTGAGGTGTGCTCCCCACCATTCCTTTGAGAATTGCCAGCAGGGCAGAGTCCCAGTTGCCTGTAGCAGCAACCCACTCAGTAAAGCCCCTTCCCTGCCTCCCAACCTCCTCACTGCGCTGCCTGGGAACCCCTCTCAATAAATGACTTGCACCCAAATCCTGTATCAGCATCCGACTTTGGGAGCCCAAGCAAAGTCACCTCCACTGCTCCCAACACGTGGCCAATACTCAGCCCTTACTTTGCAGCCCAGGCTTCTCCTCTGAGCTCCAGCCTGGGGACCCAGCTGCCTGATGAACAACTGTCCCTGGGTGTCCTACTGGTCCCCAAAGCTGGCACATCCCAAACCAAACTCCTCAGGTTCTTACTCCTCCTTAAGGTTGGCTGCGCCATCTGCCTAGAGTTCACTTCTGTCCTCCCCTCCCCTCCTCCTACACTGCCAATCAAGTTATTTTTCCTGGGGGATGGAGGGAGGAAAAGGGGAAAGAGGGAAAAGGGGAAGATAAAGAAGGAAGAAAGAAAGGGAGAAAAGGAGAAAGGGAAGGAAGGAAGAAGGAAAGAACTGAATGGAAAGGCCAGATGCGGTGGCTCATGCCTGTAATCCTAGCACTTGGGGAGGCTGAGGCGGGTGGATCACTTGAGGTCAGGAGTTTAAGACCAGCCTGGCCAACATGCTGAAACCCTGTCTCTACTAAAAATACAAAAATTAGCCAGGTGTCGTGTCAGCTACCTGTAATTCCAGCTACTTGGGAGTCTGAAGCAGGAGAATCTCTTGAACCTGGGAGGCGGAGGTGGCAGCGAGTTGAGATTGTGCTATTGCACTCCAGACTGGGTGACAGAGCGAGACTACATCACCAAAAACAAAAGAAAAAAGAAAGAAAAGAAAGGCAGAGAGTGGGAAGAAGGAAAGGGAGGAAGGAAAGAAGGGAAGGAAGGAAGGAGGGAAGACAGGAGTGGGACGGAGGGAAGGAGAAAATCTGGTTTCCCTGGAGTGTGTTTCTACCATGTAAGGCTCATGAAGTCTCAAGAGGACCTCGCCTGGCATGCTCCGAGGAACGTGCACCTCTTCTTCAGTGGCTCAGGAACAGAGGGCAGCACAGCTGGCAGCTGTGGCCCTGCTGGACTCCTGAGCTGCCCCTCAGGTATGATCACCAGTGTTGCTCACCCACTGGGGCCAATAGATGGCTCCAGATAGCAGCAAATCACAACCTGGTGGGAGCCCGGCTCCCTCCTGCTCTTCCCTCCATGCGCACTTTGTACCAATGCAGGCTCTTCCTTCCCTCAGACACCCACCCTACACGCTGTATTCCCTGGGGGCAGACTCCCTGACTCACTCCTCACCGTTTCCAGCCCCTTCTGGCATCATGACCTCTCATTCATTCATTCAGGCCAGTACTCACTTCTAAATTGGATCTTATGATTAAGAGTGAGGTTCATCTCTGAGGTAGGGTAGCCTGGATTTGAATCCAAGCACTATTATTTCCTCTTTCTGTATCTCAGTTTATTATGGGATAATCGTGGAATCTCACAGGAGATTAAATGTGAGAATGTGTAGATTAAATGCTGGAATCCATGGAAAGAGTTCCTAGCATAGGGTTAGATCACTGTAAGCACTCAGTACATATGGGCCAACATCATCACCATCGCCACCATCGGCATCACCATCATCAACCTTACCATCACCATTAAAATTGCCCAGGATGGACTCCTGCCTTGGAGGAAGAAAATGCCTATTAAATGGGCATATACTTACCAGCATCACCATCACCATCATCATCACACAATCACCATTATCAACCTCACCATCACCATCACCACCATCAACCTCACCATCACCACCATCATCATCACCATCAAGTCATCTTCATCTCCACTGTTACCATCACCATCATCAACCTCACCATCACCATAACCATCACTATTGTCAACCTCACCATCACCACCATCATCATCACCACCATCACCACCACCATCATCATCACCATCACCACTATCATCATCACCACCATCATCATCACCATCACCACCATCACCATCACCACCATCATCATCACCATCACCACCATCACCACCATCATCATCACCACCATCATCATCACCATCACCACCATCACCATCACCACTATCATCATCACCACCATCATCATCACCATCACCACCATCACCATCACCACCACCATCATCACCACCATCATCATCACCACCACCATCACCATCATCACCATCACCACCATCATCATCACCACCATCATCACCATCACCACCATCATCATCACCACCATCACCATCACCACCATCATCATCACCATCACCACCATCACCACCATCATCATCACCATCATCACCATCACCACCATCATCACCACCACCATCACCATCATCACCACCATCACCACCATCATCATCACCATCACCATTAACAGCAGCAACAGCATTACTACTTACTAGCTTGGCTGCTATAGAGGGGTCACTTTTAGGTGGCACTAAGAAATAATCGTTTTAATTGTTCCAAATGTTAAATATATCCCAACACTCCTCTCAGACTGTCACTTGACTATACAGGCAGCTGAGCCGCAGGTGAGCTAGCCGAGGGGGTAAGCACATTCTCTGCATCATCTCATGAATCCTTACAGTGCCTTGGTGAAGAAGGTATTCATGTCCCCATTTTACAGATGGTAAAACTGAGGTTCAAGAAGGTCAAGCAATTTTCTCAAGGTTACACAGTTAGTTAAGCCCTGGAGCCAGGGCTAAATCCTACACCAAGACGCTACCCTGAGACTTTGTCTGGGGATTGTCCTGCTCATTGGAACTGTCCCATCTAATCCCAACCATGCCATTGGCTCCACTATTGCCATATGGCTCTAAAATCCATTCTATGTCCACTGTGTTATGCATTTTGACAAACATGCATTGATATTTTGCTTTTTAAACTTTTGACACAGTGTCTTCAGATAGATAATCTCACTTGATTGATATACCCCTACCTGTGTTTTCAGTGTCTTTAACAAGGAAACCGATGTCTTCCACTTAGAAGACCCACAAGCCCCCTCAGTGGTCTCCTTTTCCCTACTCTTGGCCTCTAAGGTCATTCCCACAGCAGACAGGGAAATTGTTTTAAAGCACAGATCTGATCAGGTCACCCACTTGCCTAAAACCTTTAATGCCTCCCATTGCCCTCTGGAGAGAGCCAAAACTCACCGCTTTTTGAGACAGGTTCAGATGATTCTTGAAACTAACAATATGCTAATGGAAAACCAGCCAAATGAATGGTCTTATCCCTTAGCTGAAGTACCCGGGTTGTGGGTTTAGGCTGTGGGCACAGATCGGGGAGTGCTGGCTGACACCTGTCTCTTGTACTAGTTCCAGCCTGAGGGAATGGGCTATGACCAGGATTTGGCCTAAGCCCAGAATTGTAGCTTCATCAGTGGCATTTGTTCTGGATGGGGAGCACCAAGGAATGAACTTGGGATGGGGTGGGGTGAGGTGGAGGAAGGAGCTAGCAGGGCTATGGGAAGAGAGGGAGGCAGGAAGAGATCGGCATTTTCTCAGCAGGGAGGAAGGCGGGTGGGGGCGGGTGGGAAGCAGAGGTGGCCCAAGTAGGCATGGGGAACGTTTGCTGGGAGTGTGGGAAGTGATCATCTCATGGTCTCTTGGTGGACTCTTCAGCAAAACACGCACGACTGGCTCTTAGAGCTGGGGTTGTGGTTTCAAAGGGCTCTAAGGACTGCCAAGGGGTCTGGAGTGACAGCAGAGTGTTCGTAGAAGAGGAAGTGTGTGGTTACCGAGGGGCCTTCCCCTCTGATTGCTGATGGGGCTCCGAGCCCCTCCTACCTGGCTGTTCAACTTGTTTCGAAGCGCAGACTCAATTTTTTTGTGGAAGAGTTGGATCAGCCACCTAAAGATGGACAAGCAGAGACATAGATGAGGCTTTCCGGATGGATTCAGGAGGCTGCCTTATCTTAAAAGCTTTCTTCCCTTCTAGAAATAGAAATTGGCACCCTTGCCCCTGAGCTCTAACTGCACAGGATCCATCAGATGCTTCTCCTCGAGTTAGTGGCCCGTTTATGGGGTTACCTCCTGAATCCCTGCGTGGCCGGGCCCCTGCCCCTCTCTCATTCCTCACCAGTGCCCTCCCTGGCTGCACACCAGCCATACCGGCCTGCCATGACCTCTGTCCGGTGCGCCTTCCCACCACCGACCCTTTGCACATACTGTTCCCTCTGCTTAAAACACCCCCATCCCCAACACCTCTCTAACTAACGCCTGCATATCAGTTCAAATGTCCTTTCATCAAGGAAGAACTGGCCTGCCCCTCGACGGGGTTGGAGTCTTCCGTTCTATGCGTTCAGAAAGTTTGCACCTCTTTTTCTTAGTTCTCATCTCCTTTTGTAATTCTGTGTGAGCCATTCATGCAATGCTTTGGTTAATGATTGTCTTCCCCACTGGGCTGAAAACTTGAAGAGAACAGGACTGTGTGGCTGAACCTGGGTCAAATAGACCTGGACTTGAAAACTCATTAGCTGTAGCAACGTAAATTATGATCTACCTCTCTGTGCCTTGGTTTTCTCGCCTGAAAATGGGGTGATAATAGACCGACCTCACGGAGTCATGGTGTGGCTGGAATGAGATAATGAGTGTGCTCAAATCAGTGCTTGGCACAGTCAGCCCCTGACCAATATGAGCTCTTACTAAGCTTTCATTGTTCACTCCTGTTTCCTGGCCATGTTGCACAAGCCTGGCACAGAGCTGATTCTCACTAGATATTTGTTGAGTGGATGGATAGATAAATGCCTACAGATTTGTGATGAGGATACGGTTGAGTGCATACATAAAGTGCTTAGTATGAGCCTGGGACATAGTAAGTGCCCAGTAAAGTCTGCTGAATGAATATGGAATGAACAAATGATGCCTTGAGAAAGACACAGTGTCTGCTTCATCTGTGGGCCCCGGGCTTCCATACCATGCCCGAGGCCTCTAAGCAAGGCCTGGCATGCAGGTGGCACTCCAGATGTGTTTTCGGCATACAGGGATGATTAAGAGAGTTTTAAATTAGGCCCCTCCTCCCAGCCACAGCCCCGGGAGTCCATACCCCACTTTGCTGTTTGAGATGTGCACGTGGACACTGCTGATGTGGCTGCTGCAGCTGGCGCAGGTGACGGTGGGCTTGCCTGACGTCAGGTTACTGCCCAGCATCAGATCAGCCGAAATGGACATGCCACCTATACTCAGGTCAAACTCGCCGCTCGTTTTTCTGAAGAAAAGCAAAGAGGAACGTGGGACACATCCTTTCTTCCCACTGCCATTCAAACTCTACCCCAGCACGGGAAGGTGGGTTTTGTTATGGTTCCCACTCTGGGTGAGGAGGTGGAGTTCAGAGGGAAGAGGCACCTTGCCCAAGGTCACACGGCAGCCGAGTGGGAGAGTCAGAGTTCCAGCCTGAACTCCGAGCTCACGTCTGCCTCACAGAAACCGGCTCTTAATCATTGCCTCAGCCTCCGCCCTTTCTGGGTGGCTTTGGGCATGTTTCTTACCTCTCTGAGGTCCCATTTCCTCCCTCAAACCCTGGATCAGCAGTTGGACACCAGGGTGTGTGTCTCAGCTTTGCTACAAAAAGCTGGGTATTTGGGGCTAACGGCTTTCATTAATTAAGCCCCCATTAATGCAGTAATGAGGTTAAGAACTCCTCCTTCAGGGATAAAATGAGTTTTGGATAATTCAGTGGACATTCTGTTATTTTTGTGTGTGATCGATCAATAAGGGAAAAGATAGATGCAAAAGAGCCCAGGGAGAGAATTTAGCGATTCTTACTGTGGGGAGGAGACACACCCAGCAGTTCTTATAAGGGCAGGCAGACTCACGCCCCTTTCATTTGCCAGGAAGATTTCTCCGTTTTCCTTTCTAGATTTCCCAGAAAGTAGACGTTCCTAAAGTGATGATCAGTCTGAAGCACTATTGCCAGTGGGCAGGGGAGCTGTGGGGGGAGCCCAGGATTTGGATTTGGAGTTGTAGTTTGGGTTATTTACCCCCATTTTTCACCCTCCCCTTCATCCGTACACCTGCCATTGCCTATCATGGCAGGATTTGGCAGGGGGGCGGTGCCTTTGCTTGCTCTTGACTTTGGGCTTGGCCATGTGAAGTGATTTGGCCAGTGGTATATACATTCTGAGCCAGGGCCTTAAGAGGACCTGTGTGTTCCTGCTTTCCTCTTGCACCTCTGCTATCACAAAGAATATGCTCTGCATAACCCACTGGTCCGAGGAGGAGGAGGAGACACAGGTGGAGGCAAGCCTCCTCTGCTAAGCCCAACCCAGCTCAGCTGAGCCACAGCCGACAGACAGGTATGTAAGTGATGGTATCTGATTGCTGTTTCAAGCCACAGAGGTTGGGATGGTTTGTTACACAGCAATGGCTAGCTGATGAACAGAATAAATTAAAGGTTCCACTAAGCTTTCCACCTAAGCCACATGCACCAACTCAGCCTTGCCACTATGAGATGTGGATACATGCTCAGCTATTAACCAAGGGTTATGTTGAATCTTCTCATGTGAAGAATTTCCTGAGGAATGCTGTGGCGACAGGTGGTGATGTGCAAGCAAAAATTGGGCATTCCAGAGACCCTGACTGTCTAATCCCGTCCAAATATCACCAAGAGTGCACCCAACAAACCGCATGCACAGGAACGCACAAGAAACTTTTGCGTGCCTTCCACTTCCCACTGATCTTGATATTGGCGTTGCTGATGGAGAACTTAAGGCCCACATTGGGCACCATTCTTATCTGGGCACTGGGAAGCTGGAATTCACGGATGTCCATGCTGCAAAGGAGAAATGTGAATTTCATATAATTTCATACAATCCTAGGTGCCCACATGAGGACTTGGTTAATGATTCGTGCAGACTCATCTCCCACCACCCAGTCCTTCATCCCATCCATTCCAGGAGAAGCCCAAAGCTGAGACAGCAGCCTTGGCAAATATGTAGGCAGCTGGAGTGGCTTAGGCTTTGAAGTCAGATAAAACCTGCATTTAAATCCTATTCTTTGAGATACTATTGGGTTACCTGGGCATATCATTTAATTACCCCGAGCCTCAGTTTCCTCATCTGTAAAATGGGCACAATGATCTCTATCTTGCAGGGTGTGTGACACTCAATGAAGATAAAATGGAGGCACTTTATCTGGAAGCTCTGTACAGGAGAGCTCTGCATAGCTCTGTCTTGTTTCATTCCTGCAGCCCCAGAGCCTGCTGTGTCACATATACAGTGGATGTTCAAAATACCTGGGAATGAATGGGTGTATAAAACTTTGCAGAGGACTTTTATGGGTTTTCTGCCCAGCACACAGCCCCCTTCTTGTGATAACAGAACTGCTAGATTACTTAGGGGGAGCCCCTCCCCACATCTGTTCCATGCCACTCCAAAGAAAGTTGACCTCACGTCCATCTTTAGGGGCTGAAGGTTGTGACTTAGAGTTGGTCAAGTACTGTATTTCATTCTCTGGCCACAGTGATTGGAGTTTTATTATGTTGCCCAGCTGGTTTCGAACTCCTGGGCTCAGGGCTGTGTACGTAACCTGAGGTGGGCCAGTCAGAGTGAGTCTTAGGGTCTTTGAATTGCAAGGAGATCTAGAGAGATTTGCTGGTGGCGGTCTTGCCTCTAGACAGGACATTCTGCCTGCAAATTCGGCCTGTCTAAGGAGGTGATGCTGAGAGGTGGCAAGAGAGAAATGGGGCCCAGTGACGTGTCACAAGCTGAAACTGAAGCCAGACTCTTCCAGGGACTTTCTGGCCATGTGAGCCAATACAGTCTGCCTTAATCCATTTTGGATAAGATTTTCTGTCCTTGAAAACTTGCAAATTCTAATTGATATGTGGCACAGAGTTTTGGGGTTCGTGACACATTTCCTAGGAGTCACGGTTTCTGTGGCTTCCTCCACGCTCAGCTTGGAGGTTGCCTCCCATTGGGATGATGTAAACACATGCTTTGGGATATGAAAGTCTGTGAGTTGAGGAGTCTGTGGCTCTGCTTTCTAGCTCTTGGTGGCCCCAGAACACCACAAGTCCTGCAAATCGAGGATTGAGCTCTGACAGGCCTCACCTGTAGAAGCTATAATGCCCTTTCCCAAGAAGCTTGATCTTAAAGCTTCCTGAGTAGTCAGGAATCTTGATCCTCTCCAGCTCCTTCTGCAGTGCGGCCGTCCCCTGCTGGGTGGCTAAAGGGAGAAGGCAGGGGTGACAGTCAGAGGCACAGGCTGGAGCAGGGGACAGGCTCTGGAACCTAGGCCCCCCGTTCATAGCATGGAGAGTGGCACTGGAAGGGTCAAAAACAGGGATCAATTAAGGTTTCCTAGAAAAGGTCAGATAGTAAACTGACTTTTTATGGGAAACCATACTGCCTCTGTCACAAATATTCAGCTTCGCCATTACTATACAAAATAGCCATAGACAATATCATGTGCCTGTATGTGCCTGCATTCCAATAACACTTTGTTCGTTGGCATTGAAATGTGAATTTCATATCATTTTCACATGTTGTGTGATAGTATTTCTTTTGTGGTTGTTTTGAGAGAAGGTCTCTCTGTGTCGCCCAGGCTGGAGTGCAGAGGCGCGATCACGGCTCACTGCAGCCTCGACCCGCTGGGGTCAGGTGATTCACTCACCTCAGCCTCCCCAGCAGCTGGGATCACAGGTGTTTGCCACCACACTAGGCTAATTTTTTTAAAAAAGGTTTTGCAGAGATCTGGAGTTTCACTATGTTGCCCACCTGGTTTCGAACTCCTGGGCTCAAGTGAGCTCTCACCTCAGCCTCCCAAAGTGCTAGAGTTACAGACATGAGCCACCATGGCTGGCCCTTTTGATTTTTTCTCATCATTTCTCATCAAGATATTAAAAACATTCTTTATAACTCAACCAAGACAGTTACAGGTGGACAAAAAAAATTATTGGCTCATAGGGCATACAAAAACTGAGGGCTGTAGTTTGTTGACCCCTAGTCTAAAATATCACCCCTGAAACACCCAGTTATGCACCCTACTAGTATTTGTTGGATACTTAATTGTTATTTGCTCTGTGTTCCATCTCCACAGATCCCCCACCTCTCTGGGTTTGGGACTCTCTCCCCAGGGCCTTTGCACGTGCTATTCTTGCTCTCTAGGAAGCTCTTCCCTCCCATGTTCACCTGGTCAGCTTCTAGTCAGCTCATTCATCACTTCCTCTGGGAACCCTCCCTGGGCCAGAAGAACAGAGCAACATCCTGTGTTATTCTCATGATGCTGTGGATGGCTTCTCCAGAGCCCCTGTTACCATTTGTAATTATACATTTATTCACTTGACTCTGACTACTGTCTCTCCTTTATTACTACATGTAAGCCCTCTGAGGTCAGCAGCAATCGTTTTATTTACTAATGTGTCCCTTACATTACCATTGTGCCTGACACTTCCAAGGCACTTAGGATTTGTTAGATGAGGCCGGGCATGGTGGCTCATGCCTGTAATCCCAGCACTTTGGAAGACCAAGGTGGGTGGATCATTTTAGGTTAAGAGTTCCAGACCAGCCTGGCCAGCATGGTGAAAACCTGTCTCTACTAAAAATACAAAAAATTAGCTGGGCCTGATGGCACGCACCTGCAATCCCAGCTACTCGGGAGGCTGAGGCAGGAGAATCGCTTGAACCCTGGAGGCGGAGGTTGCAGTGAGCTGAGATGGCACCACTGCACTCCAGCCTGGGCGACAGCGTGAGACTGTCTCAAAACAAAACAAAAAAAGATTAGATGAATAAATAATGCCCCAATGGCAGGAATTCTACCACCAGTTATGATGTGGGCAATAGCATCAAGGAACCATTTAAAAGGCAGACACATTAACTGAAAAGGAGGGAGTAATAAGATGAGGAAGCCCAGATGTTGAGTTTTCTCAGAGCCAGTTAGGAAATAATAATACCGATGAAATGTATCGAGCTTTACTCTGTGCCAAGCACTGTTCCAGGCTCTGTCCATGTATGAACTTGTACAATCCTAGGAAGTAGCTCTTGTCACTACCCCCATTTCACAGGTAAGGAAGCTGAGGCGACTTGCTAGGGGCCACACAGCTGACAAGGGGCAGAATTTGAACCCAGGCCTTCTGGTCCCAGAGCCCATGCCCTAGAGAAGGCTTTCTGGGAGTTCAAAAGTAAATGACAGGCAACTGGTCATCGTGTGAGGGAAAGGAAAATGTGAGGCGGTCAGGATCTGTAAGTTGACAGGGGCCAGGCCTTGCAGGCTCTCAAATGCCATGCCAAAGGATCAGGATAGCTTCTGAAGGCAGTAGGGAACCACAGATAGTGTGAGCAAATACAGCATGAACAGATTTGCTGCATTTCAGAAAACTCACTCTGATTGTCACACGCGGCCTGGGTAGAAGGGGAAACTGAGGCTGCTATGACGGGGCATGAAGACCTCTGAACTTAAAGACCCTGACTGAGCCTCTGCGCCCAGAAAGCCTTCAGGACATACTCCTTCTTCCTAGCTCTTCTGTCTTCTGTGGTCTTCTGTCTGCCCCCTAGGGTTCAGACACGAACTGCCTGGGGTGGGGTGGGAATCCAAGGATGGGATGCCAGGTCCTCCTGAGTCCTCTTTCCCAAGGGCACACCAGCTGGTGAGGCTCTCTCTGCCTTCCCCTTGGTCTGATTCCTCTGCGGCTGGGTATCACCCACTGCTCTGCAGGTCATCTCTCTGCCACCAGGAGGCAGCATTGAGCAACCCCACGCTGGGGCATCAGGCAAGACCAGAGCTCAAATCCGGGCTGCCCACTTCTGGCTTGTAAATGTTGATAGCAGCAGTTTGTTTTACACAAAGGCGAAGTGAGGGCAAATGCGATTGTGTGTGAAGTTCCTAGCTCAGTGCTTGGCGCAGGTTAGAGCAGGTCAGCAGGAGTGTTTCATGCCTTTCTCTCCTCTGCCTGGGCCTGGGTGAGTGGTCTGGGAAGGGACCCTCTTTGTGTCACCCAGCAGAGCACTGTGCACAGTATGGCCACCAGCCCCTGAACTGGGGAGAGCACAGTGTTGCGGGGTGGGGGGTTCCTCGCACACTGTCCCCCAACCCTGCTCAGCCTCCTCAGCATCGAGAGGCAAATGGTAAGGCTGAGAACTGGCTTTGGAAAGAAGAGAAAGGCTTAGAAGTCCAAGATGGAGGCTGCACATTGGGAAGGAGGGGACCATGAGGACCCCTAGGGGTCTGAGCACTGGACTTGGAGTCCTCTAGACCAGTGTTCCAATCCCAGCCCTGTGATCTTAGGCAACTCACTTTGCCTCAGTTTCTTCACATATAAAATGGGGGCAAGGCGAGCTGCCTTGCGGAGCTATGAGCATGTCAGGTACTAGATCTAAAGGGCTGCACACAGTAGATGCTCAATAAGTGCTCCTCAGGGGTGGAGAGGAGGGAAGGGAGGTAACCAATTACCGTAGTCCAGGCCCTTCTGGGAGATTCTGACCACGACGCCAGGGTTGATGGCTGCTGCCACGGCTGTGCCCACGACGACCAGCACCAGCAGGGAGGCCCATCTTGGCGCGTTGCAAGGGCCCCTGGCCATGTCCTCCCTTGTCCTCCAGAGCTGCCAAAACCTCCAGGCCTTGGAGCGGAACCAGGGAGCTATAAAGGAGTCGACTGGGGAAATGCAAGTCAGTAGGATGTGGAAAGGAGGAAGGAACCTGTCGAGGGCGGGAGAGAGGGAGGGCGGCTGCGGTTTCCCAGCGTGGTTAGGGCCCCAGGGTCAGGGAGCAGTGCAGCCTGGGAGGCTCGCATGTGCAGGTGGGTGTGCATGTGTGTGCACAGGCGTGCACGTGTGTATGCGTGCGTGTAGATTGGTTCCCCTCCCTAAGCGCCCCATCCCCCGCACTGTGCCCTCACCCAATCCCCCCACCTAAGGACTCCCTTGAAGCTGGGTAGCACGGACATAGGATTCATATTTTTCTTTCTACTTTTGATTTTTTGTATTTTTGATAGTAAAGGAGAGAAATACATAGTACTGCTCCCTTTCTGGATTGCGGTGAAGATAAAATGAGCTTGAAACCACGTAAAGCATTCAGCACAGTTCCCGTGCAAAATAAGTGTCTGTTACCCTGATTTCAAAAGTGATCCACCTTCCTTGGCTAAAATTTGAGAAAGAAACAAGAGAATCCAAATTATATGTAATTCCCTCTTCTGGAGAGAAGCCAACGTGTATTTTAGAGTGTTTCTTTTCTCCCTCTTGTTTTGGTAAGCACAGGTGGAGAGTCCATGTTTGTCTGTTAACAAATAAGGGATCGCCTGGTCAGGTCTGTAAAGGAGGGGACCATGTGGCGAATGTTCTTCTCCAGCATTAAATATTTCATTGCTTCCCCATCCCACAGCTTTCTTAGCCAAGCGTCTGTTTTTGTACATTTCTACTTCTTCCTTTGGCAGATGTAGAACCTGAGGCTTCACCAGGGGAAGTGTTCTTCCCACAGTAACTCAGCAAGCTGCTAGCAGAGTGAGGATCAAAACACAGCCCTCCAGATGCATCCCACACCAGCCCGAATCCCTCAGCGCCTTGGGAGTTGGGGAATGTAGACACTCCCCACCGTCAACCCAGCTTTCCAGACAGGTCCCTGTCTGCTCAGCCACTGCCCCTCCCACTACAGCAGCCTCAGGCCTTGGGTGGGCAGGAACCCCGCAGGGCAGCCTGCTCCGTCTCCATGGTGATGAGAGGAGGGGCGGGGCTGCAGAGGGGGCAGCCGGCTTCTCTCCTGCTGGGTCCTCATCAGCCCCCTGGTGCCCTGTCTCCCCGCCTTTGGATTTTATGAAAGCCTAATGAAGTCGACTGAGCCCAGAGGACATGAGACCTTCTGAAGTTTTCTTCTTCTTTTTTTCATAAAAGTTTTTTCTTCCTCTCTTCGTTCAGTTCTAAAAGAGTCCCCCCTCCTCCTTTCATATGCAGCAACTAGAATTCTTCTGGCTTGATTCAGAATGAAAGCAGTGGCCATGTGTGAAGCATCCACCGTGTGCCAGATGCTACACACGCATCATCTCCAGGCCAAAAAACGACCCTGAGAGAGAGCTGCTTCTTCCCCAGTTTGTTTTATGATTACTGTAGAGATGGGGTCTCACTATGTTATCCAGGCTAGTCTTGAACTCATGGGCTCAAGTGATCCTCCTGCCTCCATCTCCCAAAGTGTTGGGATTACATGCTGAGCCACATCACGCCTGGCCTCTTCCCCATTTTGGAGAAAAGGAAACTGAGATGCAGCAATCACATCACCAACATGGCCATTCCTCCTTTCATGGAGAAAATATTTTCCCTGACCTGAAGCAGGCACCAGAAGGATTCATTACTGTAGGCCCTCGCCCCAGCTCTCCCTTTTTCCAAGTGACCTGAGCCCCCAGACTCAGATGTCTGCTTCTGCACCAGGAAGATTGCTCTAAGTAGCAGCCGGAACACACAGATTGATGACTTCTCACAAAATTAGATTTTTGAAGGATTACCTTGCACATTTGGAACCCTTCCATCTCTTAGTTACCCAAAGTTTCTGAGTTCCCCAAGGCCCAGGTAGATGTGGCATGGTGAAGATGTCAGTTAGGAAAGGAACACTAAGATGAAATCACATGACAAGCACCTACCTTGCTATAAAATTAGAATTTTTTGTTTTTTTGTTTTGAGACAGAATTTTGCTCTTGTTGCCCAGGCTGCAGTGCAGTGGCGTGATCTTGGCTCACCACAACCTCTGCCTCCGGGGTTCAAGCAATTCTTCTGCCTCAGCCTCCCAAGTAGCTGAGATTACAGGCATGTGCTATCACGCCTGGCTAATTTTGTATTTTTGGTAGAGACAGAGTCTCTCCATGTTGGTCAGGCTGGTCTCAAACTCCCGACCTCAGGTGATCCACCTGCCTTAGCCTAGCAAAGTAAAATTAGAATCTTAAAACCAGCTGATGGCCAGGTGTGGTGGCTCATGCCTGTAAACTCAGCACTTTGGGAGGCCAAGGCAGCTGGATCACTTGAGGCCAGAGTTAGAGAACAGCCAGGCCAACATGGTGAAACCCCTTCTCTACTAAAAACACAAAAATTAGTCGGGCATGGTGGTGGGCGCCTGTAATCCCAGATACTCAGAAGGCCAAGGCATGAGAATCGCTTGAACCGAGGAGGCAGAGGTTGCAGTGAGTTGAGATCACACCACTGCACTCCAGGCTGGGTGATAGAGCAAGACCCTATTCCCCTACCACCCCCACCCAAAAAAAAAAAAAAAAAAAAAAAAAAAAAAAAAAAAAACCAACCCCCCAAAAAAAAAAAAAAAAAAACCCGGCTGGCAAGTTTCTGAACAAACAACCCCACTGGCCTGCCGATGTCTCATGCCCAGCCAAATCTAGATGAGCCCGTCAGTGACTTTCCACAGCTTCCTGTTCAGCACGGCTGGTGATCATGGAGCTGCCCCTCTGCTTCAGATCTGAACCTCTATCCTATATCAGTGACAGTGTCTTCAACCCAAGTATCGGAAACGACTAACTCACATTGCTTCAACAATAAACAAATTTATTACTGCAGAGAGGAAGTCCAGAGGGAGGACAGGTTTGAGCTTCTGATTGATTCAGCAGCTGACAGACGTCTACAGGATCATCCCTCTATCCCTCTGCTCTCCCATCCCCGTGTCTCAGATTTGCCCTCACACTGGCTTCTTTCATAGTTGCAAGGTGGCTGCAACAGCTCCAGCCATCCCATCTAAACAGATGCTTCCCCAAATATCCTTTCCTCTTCCTCCTCCTCCTGCCTTTTGTTTTTTCTTTTTCCTAAAATTATTATAAAATATTTCAAACCTATAGGCAAGAATAGACCACCTAGGTTTATAAAACCTCAGCATCGCGCCGTATTTGCTTCCTAGAGTTTCTTTTAGTCCTAGCAATTTTGATACATGTATAGCTATGTGTAACCAGGACCACAGTCAGGATTTAGAAGAATCCTGTCATCCCCCAGAACTCTCTCCTGCTACTTCAATTTGACACAGCTTAAATCATAGGGAAAATGTATTATTCTCAGTAGAAATTCACAGATGGGGGTGGATCAAGAGCTGGTCAGTTCAAGGGCTGGTTCTGTCTATCTGTCTATTTTGCCGCTCTCTGTCCTTAGGCTGTGGACTTTTTCCAGAAGAAAGTGAATCGGGTTTAGAGCCAGCCAGACCTGGGTTTATCATCCCAGCCATGCTACCCTGCTCTGTGAGCCTGGCCAAGTTCCTCCACCTTTCTGAAATTTGGGTTCCTCATTTAAAGATGGGGAAACAGTGCTCATCACAGCGGTTGGGTTGTCCTGAGGGTGAATCGATTTGCACAGAGAAGGTGCTCAGTAAATAATCACAAGTCAACCTTCATCACTAGCTCGCCAGGGAGCCCTAGAGCCCCCAGGAAAACACACAGGGGTACCTGAAACTGAGCTCTCGGCCCTCTGGCCTCTGGGTTTGGACTGGATAGGTGAAAACACAGAGGAATCTGTGGCTTATCTGGCCTCCATGAGCCTTCCACTCTGCCAGGGGCTGCCAGAAGAAGCAGCCACTCCTGACCTGAGAGCCCCACAGCGCCACAAGGCTGTTAAGGGCGTGGTTTGGAACCTGACAAACCCGGCCGGATCCCAGCTCTGCCATTTCCTCGCTGTGTGAATGTGAGCTTGCTGCTGAACCTTGCTGAACCTCTTTCCTCCTCTGTCCCCACACTCCCTCCTCAGGCACAGGTCCTTCGGGTCTTTAGATCCAGATGCTCGGGTTTAATGTGAAGTCACCCCCGCTGCCACCTGAGGCCCAGTAAAGCTCTCCTTCCCTGCAGTGCTGATTCTCCAGCCCTTTCCCTCCCTCGCCCACCAGGGTCCCCCTTCCTCCGTGTGTCCAGCTTCCAGACTATGCTATCAGCCATTCTTTGATCCTGAGTGGGGGATGCAGGCGAAGGAGGGGCTCATGATAGACGCTGGAGGGGGAAGGGGAGGAGAGGAGCAGGCCCTCCTGGAGATCCAGCCTCAAGGTACAATATGGAAAAGGCAATCAGGCCAGCACAGTGGGAACCTGAGGTGGGCAGATCGCTTGAGTCCAGGAGTTCGAGACCAGCCTGGGTAACACGTCAAAACCCCATCTCTACAAAAAATACAAAAATTAGCTGGCATGGTGGCCCACACCTGTAGTCCCAGCTGCTTGGGAGGTTAAGGTGGGAAGATCACTTGAGCCTGGGTGGCGGAGGTTTCAGTGAGCCGTGATCTGCACTCCAGCCTGGGTGACAGAGTGAGACTCCGTCTCAAAAAAAAAAAAAAAAGACAATGAGACATGTTGTACATTTTGTATTATGGCATAAACTCTTGAGAGGTGTCTCTCCTGCTTTGTTATGCTAAAAAACGCTGTCTCCTTCCCAGCTTCACGTCTCATAAAAGGGCCCCTTTGAATAATCTGGTCAGAAGGGTACAAGCCTCCAAGGGGCGCAGGGTGGGGGCTGATCTTCCTCGCTATTATCAATACTAATATTAATTATTATTATCAGCAGTCCCAGAGTGGGACACAAGATATACTCGATAGTGAATACACTGAAAGAAGAGTCAGAGCATAGTTCCAGACCGTAAGTGCTTGGAGGCGAAGGACAAGCTCAGTCTGGCCTGGCAAACCCCAGGGGCTTCCAGGGGGAGGCATCTGCCTGGGTGCCTGGGGGCT